AACCATGGAGAAATAGCTCACCAAGGCAACACCATAGCACTCAAAGCTTCAGAGCGTCAGAACCATCAGCGACAGTCCGCGATATCATTCTCGACGACGGAGCCGTCCGAGCGAGCCGGAGAGCGTCGTAAGAGATATATCTGAGTTTCGTGTATAGTATTCTGGAGGCGGAAGTCCTTTTCTGTTGTCTCGCAAACTTTGATCTAATTCTTCTCGATCAGTGTCATCACTAGGTAGGACGCCCTGCAAACTCTTCTGTTGTTCAAGTCGATCGTAGTGTTGTTGAAGAAGGACTCGACTCTTGTATCGAAGCTGTTCACGGCATGGTCGCCTTGTGTACTCCACAGCTTGAATCGCCTGGACACTTCCCCATTCCAGTCTCCCGCCAAAAGCTTGTAGCTCTGCCTGAGTGCAGAGCGATTGTACCGACCGACCACTCATCAAACAGTCTGCCTCAGCTTTGTCAATCTCGCTTGCCGCTGTTGCACTATCTGGAGCTCTAAAAGGAATCCACTCGCATTTGTTGCTGAGACGTTTGAATGCTTCCAGTGTTGATTCATTACCACTCTCAGAAGGCAACAGTCGAGTTAGCTCTTGTTCAATGAGATGCCGATTGGCTTTGTCATGTTGCCGCGCTGTTTCGGCAGCATTCCTTGCAGCGATTTCCTGTTGGGATCGGCGATTACGTTCTTCGCTGGCTAGTAACTCTTCTTCAGTACCGAAAACCTCAATGTCCATGTCATCCCCTAAGCGGTCTCCAAGCACTCGCTCAATCTCTTGCTGGGACTCTGGATGGCCTCTCTTCGTCATGCGATTGGCTTCTTCTTCACTATCGTCCAGAGCCATATCCATCGGTAGCGCCGTCGTAGGATTGGACACTTCCTCCACCTCCGGTTCTGCAATCGCTTGATAGGAGAATCCCATAAATTCCTCCACATCATTCACCGGTTTCTTTGGTGCCGCTAGGTCATATGGAGCATCCCGAAATCCAATCTTTTCAGCATAGGCATTCAATAGCAGCAGCTTCTCTGTATTTAAAATCTTATAGTCAGTTGCCCCTTGCCGGATAACTGACTTCCTATCATTTCTTTCTTCAAAGAAGCAACACATTATTCGCTCGCCCCTTTGTAGGCCTAAAATGAAACAGTGAGAAAATGCGATGTTTCAAAGTGTGAGTGGAATATAAGCACCAAGTTGAAGAGCGATGTTTCACTAGCTCATCTCACCAATGTGAGTTGCCAACAGCAGTAAAGCGAGATCCAAGTTGTCTCGCTCATTGGTATTGGTCCTCTGGCAACATAAGTGACATCAGTTGATGGGTTTCTGCGAAATAGATTCACCAAGTGCATGGGTGGATCTGACAAGCACCCAATGTCCACATGAACCATCTGTTTTCGGACAATATCTGTTAGCTTCCACTGCTTCATAAATAGCTTCGGCCTTGGAAGATCCCCAACTGGTTGAGTCGCCAAAATTCGATAGGTCTCGGTGTCCTTGGTTTGTACATAGTTGATCACTGCTTCGACATTGCTTCGAAGAGTCACCGGATCAGGAATGATCGAGTTTGCCTCTTTCAGAACCTCCTTAACTGTGGGCTCCCTCTTCAACTTGTCTTGCATCTTCTCCTTGGCTCTGTCGAATTCCTCTGGAGTGACAACAAATAGAGCACGAGACATTAGACCACGAAAGATGCCAGCTTGTACCGAAGAGCAGTCCACCATCAGATCATTCCACCGCTTCAACCAGTGAAAAGGATCAAGCTTAATAAGTGCGTGAGGGTACAGTGACTTCAAAATATTCCTCACATTGCAGCAGTTGTCAACATACACCACTTTCACTGAGTTCGCAATGGGCCCAAACGGATTTCCTTTCTCTGCATGAGCGTTCCTGTTCAGTCTGTTGCGCAAAAGGATGAGGTCGTTCTTTATCTCGCTGAATGATTCGGAGCTCCTCAAGGCTTTCCAAAAAACTGTCAATCCATCCTCATTTGAATGGTACATGCACTGATAAGGTTGGAAACTGCATCCCTGTTTGGTCCAGACGCGGATTTTGGATGCAAGCTTGTAGTTGAAGTCAATCTTCAACAGTGTTGCCGTCAATCCTCGCATCTTCTGCTCCTGGAAAGCTTGTGGCGGAAGACACTTACAAGGCCATCAATGCGATACTTCGAGAGGACCCGTCCATTATATCCCGTTTATCATCAAACACCGAAAAGGGGACCAATTCCGACTCCTCCGACTGGCCAACTTCAGCCTCTGCCGATTCCTCTTCCACTTCGTTTTCCCTTCATATTGCACAAGGGCGTCCACAATTCATTATACCGACTGATGCATGGTTCAATTTCAGCTTTTCTGGCATCTGCCAGGGCTCTCAGGTTCTTGTAGTGGTTGTCAACAATTCGCTGCCACTTTTCAAGGGTTTAATGTTCTTGTACTCTTTTGGATTGGCTGCGAGGAGCTCAAAGCAGGTGTCAATCCCATTATCCAACAACTTGCGCAGCTTGGTGCCACCAAGCCCCTTCAAAAAACTCTTGCTGCCAAAATTATTCCTGTTATCTTTGGAGCGAAGCATGGAGCGGAATGTCCAGTCAGCGCCAGCCTTGGATTTTGCTAAGTCATACCTGCCCCGTGCAGATTGTACCGCCGACATTGCCTTGAGCTGGTTGTTCTTTAATCTCTGGTGCTCCGTGGTAGTGGTGTTGGCAGCCGGGAGCAACTCCGGAATTGTTTTCTGCTTCTTTTTTGGTCTGATCTTGTCCAATCCGATTGCGGTTAGATAGAGCTGGTGATCCTCGTAATAAGCAATGTTGGCCATTCTGACTAGCTTTTTGGCAATCGTTGCTGTAGATTCTTTGTAGGAGCTTTCCACGATGAGGCTGTGTAGTTCATCATCTACAGCAAAACCATGACCAAGGAAGAATGTAAAGAACCCATAGTAGAGGGAGGAATCCAGCTGCATGGATTCCTTGTTGTATCCAGCGAATCTTCTGCCGCAACGGGTGCACAGGTAGAGGACGGTATCGAGGTAACGAATTCTTGATACCCCATACAAAACTTTGGGGCAGTTCATCCATCTGCTTTTCTGCAAGTCCACTGCGTTCCGCTTCTTGCAATGGGGGCAGCAGGGAACGTGGTTGGGCACCAGAATGTGTGGAACCCATACCGCCATTGGCTTGATGTAAAATTGTTCCACTGTTGACTTCTTTCCACGCTGATCCAACAGGAGACTATTAAAGCGGCCTCCTTTGGTTGGAACAATGCGAGTCCAGTCTCGAGGAGGCTTGAAGAACCCTTTGTGGTCATTGTTGATGGCGTCTCTTGTTCTCACCACAAACTTCCATTGTGCCTCTGAAATCTGCTTTGGTTTGCGTCGAGTGGCCATTGTCATTGTCGATTGGAGGAAAAGTGTTTGCTCTCCGGTGCAATATCGATTGCATTGGATTCAAATGATGTACACAACGGTAGGGTTAGAGGCAACAATTTTCGATAGAACTATCGAAATTTCGATAGTCTAAATAAAGAATTTTCGGGGCGCCACAGAGCTCTGCTATTAAAAGTACATTTTAAGCTTAGAAAACGACACAAAAGAAGGTCGGGGATTTAAAGGAAAAGTATGGGATATTCCACGTGTAAGCATATGCGGTTAGAAGAAAGTATTGGGATGACATTTGGACGCCAACCTCCTCCCCCCTCTTCTTTTTTCTTCTTGGCGCAGACCAACTCACACCAAGACCTCTTTTGCATAGCAGACTCAAACAGAGACATTTTTGCCACTCTAGACCAACATTTTGCTGGTGACGAGATTTTCTCTCTCTTTTGTTTAGAAAGGGTAGCCTATGTTTGGTGCCCATTGGCAGGCATGCATGGCACTGGCAAAATTTGAAGAGGATGGCCAATTTGCATGAGGTCATGGATTTTCTCCAGTCTCCATCATATTCCAGCCTTTGAGGGTATCAGGGAACTCAAATGGGGTTCAGTTTGTAACGCGCATGCTTCGGTTCGATTCCCATAGTGTTCTCTCCAAACTCGATTCCCATAGTGTCCAATAGGTCTTCTTATCAATAGGTTTTCTTTTGAACCAGGTGGAGCAGATTTTTGGCACGGCCAACAGTGGCCAACAGTGGCCAGGCTTTACTACTGTGTCGCCCACCACTGGATTTTCCCCACCACTGGACTGTTCAGTCATGGCATGATTTGCCTCACATTTTGAAGAAACTCACTTTTGACATCACCTCGTGCTGACAGATATACCCCCAGCAGTTTGACCAATAGAGTCAACCTGACAATACTTTGAGATAGGGAATGCGTAATTTGGACGTGCCCGTCGCAGTGGTGGTAGTGGCTTGTTCATTTGGTGGCCACGGGAGCAACGAATGGCTGGCAAAGTAGGGCTGAAAATTTCTTACCATTTTCCCCTTGAAAATGAAACCTTTAGTTTGACATAAGATAATGCCTGCTACATGGCTGCAACCACTATAACCAGCACATGGCTGCGACAAGCAAAGAATGTAGACAGCTCTAGATATTTATCTTGGGTGTGTAGGTGCTATATTGGTTGAGTTCATCATAGTTGTCTTCCCATGGCAACAGAGATGATTTTGCCATGATTTTGCGTGGGAAGCCAAGAACAGACCTGCTTTTAACACGTGGCAGCTCTGCAGATTTCCAAAGTGAACCAGTCCAGTGGTGGGGTACACAGTAGTTTAGGTAAAGAAAATGATGCTGACTTTGGGAAGTATTGCTGGTCCTGTGGCAACAGACGTACACTCTTGGAGCTTTACACTCTTGGAGCTTTCTATCCAGTACAAAGTATCTATAATCTTAGAATGCAGCTACTAGCTAGCTAAAATCGTATGACTAGCTAGATAGTAGTATAAAGTAAGTAATTAGTTCTGTTTCAGTTTTGCCCATTTCCAATACTACAAATTAATTGTCAAGTTAGGCAGACGCATCCTCCTCATTACTCGCTCATCGCTCAAGCAAGATTATTGCTCATCTTCCTCATAAACCGAAACAAAAAAGTTGTCGGAAGTGCAATGTGCGACCAATTGAGGCCCATCATCCTCTTGTTCTTGATTGTCATCTTGTCTCTTTTGTGTGAGAAAGGTAGCATTTTGCAGTGGTCGAAAGTTTTCTCCCTCTAGGTTAGTAGCGGTATCCATTCGACAGGATGCATCTCTGGATTGTGTCAAGAGGTGGGTCAATTGTTTGTATTGACGACGAGAAATGGAACTGTTCAACAAGATTACAAGAAGAAGCAAAACAAAAGTGAGGACGAGAACACAACAACATGGACAGACAAGCAAAGAGAGACAGAAGATGACGTACAGGGGAGTATCCATAATCCTCCAATGAACTTTACCCAAACAGGGTGGAGCCGTGAGACTACCCGTGTAGGAGTAGTACCAACTCGATGGCCACAGATTGTAGGGAAAGATGCGGAACCGGGGCGCCATGCCCTCGTCTTGACAGCCATTGCCGTACTTGTCGGCTTCGCAACGATTCTTATCACCTTGCAGTTTGCGCTTTTGGGTTTTGTTGGCGTCATTATAATTGGTAGCATTATTGTGCGCTTTGGCATAATCGTGCAACGCCGCCCAGGGTGCATGACGGGCATCTCCCCGCAAATGCTTCGGACGCTTGTGGAGTAATTCACGCTTCTTCTTTCCACCACACAATGCCGCTTCTTGATTGGCCTTGCTTTGCCATCCATCCAGTAGGTACTGTTGAAAGATATCGTGATCTTCTTCGGCATTGGCTTCGACCAAGACACTGACAATGACCAATTCATTGGGCCGTGTCGCGGCCATGTGTACCATTTGAATTTCGGCATCGTATCGGGTTCCATCAATGACGTGTTCACTGCGGGCGTGTACTTCGAGCCACAACAGGACAAAGTGTTCTTCTTGATTGCGTCGATCCATGCCAAAGATATTTTCCAATCGAATTGTCGGCCGACGGCACGCCCGATCGTTGCGGGGCCAGTAATAGCGGAGTGAGTAGGGAGTAATCTCCCAGGCTTCCGGGGATGTAGCTGTTTGAGTAGCAGTAGTGTCTTGCCGTAGATTGTTTTCCAACGGATGACGACAATCGACGGTGGGATTGAATTTGCGCAGCATCATCTCTTGTGTGTCGGTACATGCCTGATTGGGAATGACTTCAATGGGAGAAGGTCTGGCTTCATTGCCGCATTCGTTCTGGGTCCACCAATTCAAGAGAGGCGTGGCGTCTTCATTGGTCAATGCCGAAGCCAATCGTACCACTTCCCATTCTCCCCACCCTCGATTGGTAATCGCTGGCACAGAAGACCATTTCGTGGGACCATCGGAACGCAATTCGTCATATGTATACGGCAATTTGTAATTGTCATCCCAGCCTTCGCGATTCGTACTGTCGACGCTGCCCGTGTTGCTTAGAGTGGTCTGCGCTACGACAATGGGATTTGTGGTTGCCACCAACAGCAGCAGGGGCAGCAGCAGGGAACTGGAAGAGATCATGCTTGACTTGAATTTTCTTCTTCCTCAAGACAGACAGTGTTACTTCTTCTACTCTTCTATCGAAGGGAGGGGATGTGATGTGTGTGAGAGAGAGAGAGAGAGGAGCTTGGTCGTACCTGGATGCACTCTCAGTCTTTTGTTGCTTTCTTCTTTGGCATCCTGTTGGCACGACGGTGCACAGAGCCCCACGCATTGGATGCGGGTTGGCCACATTCTTAGCGTTGAATCGTGCAAATTTGGGAGAAAGTAACGGCAAGATCCAGTCACGCGGGATGAACCTCTTTGGTGAAGCGCCAAGCAATGTGCTCTGAAGCAGGAAATAAATGGTAGTTAAGGTAAATTTAGATTAAGATCCAAAACGATTTACCATACCTAGCTGCTTTTTAAAGCTCAGACTAGCTACGGTAGCACTATTATTGCTTGTACCGTACCGTAAAGGAATCGAATCGAATCTCCACAAAACAACAACAAGCCCCCGCAGCAGTCGAACACAGTACAGTACAGTATCCATTAGATGGATGAATATGGCTGCCTTGAATGACTTGCATGATGTGGAGGATGTGGAGGAAACAATTCATGATGAAGGCGACGAAGCGGTACAAGCGGTTGAGAACTCGTTGAAAACCTCTTCTTCGCCAATGACGGGTTGGTTCATTCCACAGATGGCAAATTATCACGATGGTGTCAGGATTTTAGACGGACGCAGGTAGTTTAGTCAGCCTCGGGAAGAAGACCAGTAGCCTCCCCCAAGATCATCCTCTCCGAGCGGTAGCTGCCGTGATGGAGGCTGCTTCTCCGAGTTCGGTGATTCGTGTGTACAGTACGCCTACAGCCTCACTGATCCGTATTTCATCGACCTCATCACCCATCATTGATGCCAAAACAAAAACTATCCGTGTCATCCTGGAGCCAAACGAAGTTTCCATCAACGTGATTAATTAAGCGCGTCTGTAACTCGTTCGATGCAATGCAACCAAGGCGGCTGATTCCGAGTCCGCCCTTTTGCAGTCCACCAACCTTACGTTTCGAGTTGCTGCCAACTGCTACTACCCACACTTTCCGGAGACAAGTATGCACATGAAAGGAATAATCACGGACGAGTGGACCATTCTTGGAAGCTACAACTTTTCTTTGGCCGCCAGATACAAGAATTGGGAACAACTTGTGTGCGTGTGCTCCCAACAGGTGGATACGTTGTGGTTTGACGCGCTGTGGGGAAATTTGAGGGAAAGAGAAATTATATTGATCTTTGGAATAATATCGATGCGTCCATAATATTTCACAAACAACAGAAACGACGGTATTCTTCTTCTCAGCAGAAGAATCCCAAGTAGTAATAGGTTCTGCTACATTTTAAGAGTGGTACTGTACAATCTGACTCGCTCATGTCTCGATTCTCTTCATTTATTTGAAATTGACCAAATAACACTCTAGCTACTACTTTCAGTAATACATAATAGTTCATGGTGTTGAGGTGTGGCTTTTTCTCGCGAGGAGGTACAGTCGTACAGTGCAGTGGAAGAGCCCAAGCAAAAGAAAGTCAATCCTCCAAACCAACTCTGACAAGATTTCAAGGACACGATACGATGTACGGTAGGTGATGGGAATACCGGTTGGTAATACAGCTCGCGTACTGTACACCGTAGAAGTCAAGTGTACCGGTGCCAGGGAGCTCTGCACGCGTTTGCATCAATGGAATTGAAGCGGCTTGTACGTGGTTAAAAATCTCCGTGGGTGAGTAACCCAGGCGCGCGGGATATGAATCTTTATCTATTATGGCATTATTATTGCTATATCATCAAACGGATCTCGAAGATCCAACCAACCACAAGCAAGTCAATATTTCGCAAGAAGCCTCGTCCAACACTCATACTGACTAGCTAGAGCAACAAACAACCACAATGGCAACGATATCGCGACGTCCAGCAAAGCCGCCACTTTCCAGTGATCTGGAGAATACGGCTCACAATGGTCATCACATTAGCAGTCTACAGGCCAAGGACAATAGTAATAGAGGAGGAGGCCATGGAACTGCCAAACGACGCGTAGTAACATCCTTTTTCAGTGGCGCGCTGTGCATGGGGGCGATCCTGTTTGCGCTTCGAGATTACGTGGCAATGCTGTGTCCACCGCCCACAGCCACGACCACCCAAACAGCAGTAGTAACAGAAGTCCAGTCTACTACTACTAGCACTACAACGAATTCCGCCAATGAAAAAGACTGGAAATGGTTTGAAGGCGATGTCAATCAATTCTACAACGAGTTGGAAAAGGATCACAAACGCGATCCTACCAAGATTGCCAACTACGCGGTACATCGTTGGATGGGCACGGATCGATCTACCACGCATCATTATGAATTGTTACAAGCTAGTATTTTGCGCTATTACACTGGCAACTCACCAAACGATGCCCTGCGTGTATTGGACGCCGGGTGTGGCCTGGGATCTGCCATGAAGTGGTTGGAAGAACGACAACCTACCTGGGATATTGTGGGACATACACTCAGTGAAGAACAGGTCAAATTCATCCACGACAAATTACCAGCGCACAAATTCAAAGTGGTGCTCAAAAGTTTTGATGATTTGGACACGTCCCAAGAATTTGATGTCATTTACAGCATTGAAGCCATGATTCATAGTATGGATATCCAAACAACACTCAAAGCATGGTCCCAACATTTGAATCGACAACACGGATCTCTGGTCGTGATTGATGACTTTTTAATGCCCGGAGCCGACAAGTCATCGGAAGAAATGCAGCTCTTTCAACGCGGTTGGATGGCCAATTCGTTTTATACAGTCGTGGAACTCAACACGATGGCCCGCAAGTACGGAATGGAATTGGTCGAATCGCGCGATTTATTGGCGGAATATCGAGTCGTCGAACTCAATTATAAAAACAAAGTGCCATCGCTAGCGGTGGAACAGAAAAAGAGTCATCAGGGATGGATTGGAAGCAAATTGCGGCACAAACTGACGGTGGAAGGGAAAATTGGATACAATCTGCTCGTCTTTCGAAGAATGGGAGCCAAAAAGCAGAGGAGGCAACAAGAATTGCCACAACCAAAAATATCCCTGAGCAAGAATTTACCAATACTGAGTACTGGCAATGATGACGAGTGTGCTTCGGTACCAAGGGTCGGCGACAACCAAGAGAAAGTAGTCTCCAATATTACGCCCAAGAAAGAATGCCTCTCGTCGTGGTATTGTTGCGACCAACACAAACAATACCTAAACACGCTCAAAACAAAGAGAACCAACAAACACGGGTTTCTCATGATGGACGAAAGCTTGTTTGGCAATTACATGGAAGCCTTTGCCAGACACCTCAATGAATTTTACGAAACAATCCCATTGGACTATACCAGTGGTCGTTTTTTGGATATTGGGGCCACCGGGTCGACGGCATCGGGCATGCAGCAAGTCACATCCAAATTTGCCCACTTTGTCGGGCCGTTACAATATTGGATGCTCGATTCGGATCAGGGTGCCAAGTCGCTGCCGCGGACTATTTATTGCGATATTTGCGACTGTCCACAAGGGGATTCGTGTGGATTTGATGTCACATTCTCCCATACAGTGCTAGAACATGCGGCTCGACCCGAAAAGGCATTTGACACCGTCGCACGGTTGACCAAAAAGGGGGGGCTGACATTGCACCTCGTGCCGTGGAGTTATCAGTACCATGCCACACCCGATGACTACTATCGCTTTAGTCATGCGGCACTGAAAGTTTTGGTACGTTTTGGTTATTGTCTAGCGCACTGGTTTTATGCGGTTCTCTCGAGCGGCACTAATCAATCGTTTGTTCCATGTTGCTTGTACAACAAAGATGGAAGACAGAGGCTTTGAACCGTTGGAAATTGGATACGACCTCTGTAGCAAGCCACAAGCTGTCATGAAGCGTGTGGATGAACACTATGACTTTATTTGGTTGACATACGTAATAGCCAAGAAGCTGTAGGCAGGAACGAACAAGGAGGAAGCAGGGCAACCAGGCTTTCATTCAATCACCTGACAGTCACTGGTTTCGAATGTGGTTGGAGCTTATGCGCATTGGGTGCTGTGTATCGGTCCCCTCCACGATTGGGTCTTCCGTCGTTTTCGCTGGTGGAATGATGTAAACTAGACAGAATCGATTCATACCGATCGTGTCCCTTTTGAAGGCCGACCCCCAAGCAACAATGAACAAGCTTGCCACCATTCTACTGTCCTTCCTCATTCATGCATACTTGGTTGGCTTCCTCGGGGCTGCCTTCCTTCTGCTGGTCACGGTTAACCCACTCCTTGGCTTGAGCAGCAAGCAGAATACGGTAGGAACTCACGTGGGGCGGTAAACTGAGGTATAAACTTCTCTATGCATGAAATTACTACAAAAACGTCGAACTACGTCGATATGCCCTCGCCTTGCCTGCCTTCCAACTTAGCTCCCACCCCTGCTGATCGTTGCAACGCTATCGGAGTCGGCGTCGCTTGTGCTAGCTTCTGAAGCTACCTCTGTGGGAACAACGGTCTCGACCTCTGTGGGAACACCGGTCGCGACCTCTGTGGGAAGCGCAGTCCCAGTTTGAGTGGCCTCAGCCGTCCACGCAACAGTACCACCAATGGTACCACCATCCGTGGGAAACGACGTTGCGGCAGACTCCTCTTCAATGCACATGACAACATCTCCACATTCCAACTCTTCCTTTTGGTCATACACCTCCTCCAACACACACGTGGCAATGGCTTGCAGTGCATCCAGGCAGAGGTGCATGCAGCAAGCACTCTCTTCCTTAGGATATTGCTCACACAGTGAAGACTCAATGTCATTGCAAGTGATTGTCGTTTCGGGTGGTTTGACGTCAACAGCAGCCATGCTCACATCTGGACACACGATTCCGTCGGAAAAGTAAAGACAGTCGCTGAGGACGCATTCGACAAAGCCATACCATTCATTCGGGCAGCTTTCTTCCGCAGATTCCGCAGCAATGGCAACGCCGCCAATCGTTATCGCAGACGCGTCGAAGTACACAAACTGTTTGTTTTCGGGGGGCTTCTCGAGTTTCTTCTCAAGTTTATCGAAAATTTGCTTGGATGCATCTAAAAAGGGATCGGTTGGTGCTAAGGTGGTTGATACTGTCGTAGTCGCTGTAGCAGCAGTACTGAATGCGGGTGTGTCGTCACTTGTGGGCGTCATGGTTTCCGTAGTGCCCGCGGCCACGAAAGATGCATCTATGCTTTCGCTAAGGGTTGGGACAATGGTGCCAACGTCCTCTGTCACACTATCGGCTAGTTCCAAAGCACCGGGTGGTGGACACGGCATGACTGCCTCACATTCACCCAAGCCTGATTGACCGTACTCCTTCTCGAGTAGACAGGTGGCAACATCTTGCAGCGTATCCAAGCATTTGCTCATGCAGCACTCACTGCCCTTTGGAAATTGCTCGCACAAGGAAGAAGAAATGTCCGAACAAGTGACAGCCTTGGGAGTGTCTTTGTGGAAAGAGAAACACATCACGCGTTAGAAAGTTGGTTGGTCTTGACGACTTTCATCGCGAGGTAACCAAGCAAAGGGGTCCTCACCTTTCAAATCATACGATTTAACAGTTTCACAAGACGGGAGAAAATTGGGACAGTCCGTGATAAGGCAAACAACCAATGCATTCCATTCGTCCGGGCAGTGTTCTTGGGATGGCTCCGGGAGGACCGCAACTCCTCCAACCATCCACCCGAATGCAAGGAAGTCAACTTGCTCGCCAGACTGTTTGAATTGTTTTCTGTACGGAGCTGGTGCTTTGTTCCGAAGTGTAGACGCTCGCGAGCTTGAAACTTGCAAGGCTGCAATCAGAGTTCCTAGGAGGAACGTGTATAACTTGGTCATCTTCTGCTTCAGGGGAGAGGTTTGCTCTGAAATGAGAAATGTGGGGTGGAAAGTGGCAGGGAGAAGCAGCGACTGGGCCAAAAGCCTAGATTTTTGAACTTCGAGGTCGCCACTTTTACGTAGACTGAAATGAGTTCACTCGCAATTTTTACAATGAAATGAAGCGACCACTTAGCGGAAAGATGGAGCTTTCGGCCTATGAATCTATAGAATCGAGTGCAGTACCCAAGCAAACATGAGCAAGTGGGCTTCAGAGCGGGGCTCTGGCTAGAGTACGGTAGCTATTGCTGGCTTGCGAGACAATTCTAAGTTTAGGTTTCTTGGTTGCCATAACCACATGGCTTGATATATTCCGTCCTCGCAGCGAGGCAGACAAGAAAAAGCTCGGCTTTACTATGATAAGACGTAAGCTGTCCTAGTCTTTGTCCTCATAGCAGCCATGCCCAACTTGCCAACTTACTGCTTCATTCGTAGAAGATGGCGTAGCCAGCCCTTTTAATTAAGATCCCATGGAAGTGTACATGAATGTCTTGGATAGTCTTCTCAGTGCAGCGGGCTTGGAGACACTCCCACTACACCAGGAAAACAGGTTAGTTCATGGATCACTTCATGGATCCTCCTCCCCATCAGACGTCCTGGAGATAGTTAACTCGTCATCGACAAGTGACGAAGCCTCTGTTGGTGTTTCAGTCTCCAAAAGCGACGGAGTGACTGTTTCGGCCATCTGAGCCTCGGCCATCGGATCACTGGTAGCCTCAGTCACCAGGTCACTGGTAGTCTCGGCCGCGGGATCACTTGTAGTCTCCGCACTATTGGCAACCTCCGGTGGCGCAATGTATTTGCTGGCGTCAAAGTCTTCCGCGATGTTTACTCTCCAAATCTCATGGCCGGGTCCGAATAGATACCAAACAGTCATGTACACGGCGTTCTTGAAGATGAACAGATTGTCCATGTGAGGGAATAGTCCCACCTCGTCGATGCCAATCCCCCCAATGATGTGTGTGTTTGCCGGGCTGCCATCGGTAACCCAAAGGTCATGCCCAAAGGATGCATCTGTCTTTGCCGCAGCAAAAAAGGCCACTTCGTGCTCCCAGACCGCAAAGGAGGTGTCGCTTGTGAGCAAAGCGTCGACCAGGGCAACGGTTCCTTCTGGGGTACCATCCGTGACCCAGGGCTTCTCTTCGCGGTTGCTCCTAGTTCGAAACAATACTCTCTCCCCTAGCTTCGTCAGTTCATTCGGGCAGTCGCGACCGTCACTATGGTCCAGCAGAAGAACATATTCCATGGGGCTGCCACTACTACCGGTAGCTGTCCACAGCTGGCATCCAGACCAGAAGAACAAGCTGCTGTTCACTACCATCATGGATCGAGGATCGGTGAATGTAGCCCCGTCAGGGCCTGCGACCTCTTCAGTGCTTCTTATGGTGCCATCTGTTGACCAGAGAGAACCTGCATTGAAGTAGATCTTTTCGTTGAACTCGATGAGATCTTCTTTACCTGCCGCAATCTGCCGGTCGCTCAACTGTTTGGTGCCACGCACTGTTCCGTCTGACACGAACAGGAATAGCCTTGACGAAGAACTCTTGTTCTTGGCAACAAAGTACAGGTTGTCATCAAAGCTGGTAGTTTCGAGAACAGAGTTGAACCGGACACTCGGTGGAAGAACAAAGTTGTCTCCTACTGGATCTGTGCCATCAGTGGTTCCATCCGTCTTCCATAAAGTTTCGGTGCCGTCTTCGTCTGTCACAACAAACAAAAGATCCCCATTGTATTCTAACATGGACCCCCCTCTGAAGCTACTAACAGAGACGCCTTCTGAGCCATCCACGATGTCCCGAACCAAGTTGGTTCCATTTTTTGTCCCATCGCTTCTGAACAACTCTTTTCCATGCACACCGTCATCAGCAAAGAACATAAGCAATCCATCGAGTTCAGCCGACTCTAGAGCGAAGCTTCCAATTTCGTCCAAACTGGATTGCGGACCTGGGTTAATGTCCTTGACAAGATGGGTATCGTTGAGGCTAGACTCTGTCAACCATAGTTCGTATCCGGTAGATTCCGAGGTCGCTTTGAAGAAGAGAGTATCAATCACCGGAACAAAGTTCATGGGGTAGAACGCGTCAGTCACATCTGTCTCATTGAGCTCTGTGATCGTGCTGCGATCTGCAAAGAGCTCGACATCAAAATTTGAAAGGAAGCCAACTTTCTCTGGTGCCACGCATTCGTTGTTGCAACTCAATGTAGGGCAGCTGTCCACAACAAACGAGTTATCCATGTTGCTTCGACAGTCCAACGAAAATACTTGAACCTCGTCTTCGCCGCAAAGAGAGCAGTCACAGACTTGTTCGGATCCCTGACCCCGGTCGATCGTTGCCTGGCACTGGCAATCGTTCGAATTTGGCACGTCAAAGCCAATGGTTTCGTTCAGCGAACAAGTGACAATGGCGTCAATCCAAGTCTCTGTTTCTTCACTTGTTTCCAACTCTGCTGTGTATATGCAAGAGAAATTGTCCTTGTCCTCCTGAAAGCAAACCCTCCCCTCCATTGGTCCCTCTTCCGAATATGCAGCACAGTCGAATGCTTCCCAGCATCTCAAGCGGCCTCCAACAGTTTGCTTCACTACACAGGACGCCAAAGCCAGTATCTGCGCCTCACATGACGCCATGCAACAGCCGTCGTACCCAAAGGTGTTGCAAAAGCTTTCCTCGACCGTACTGCAATTCATGTTTGCCGCAAGCTCTGACCACCACAAAAGAGAAACCATCGTGAGTTTTTTGGTCTGGGTAAAACTTTCTCGGTCCTTCATTGTATCTGATCACTCACCTGGAAGATCGGGCACCGATGTTTCATCGTAAAACATGCTCAGTGGGCATTCGTCGACTAGATTGGGGCACTCCAGTACGGTACAAGCGACGAAGTCAACCCACTCGTCGGGGCATAGGAGCCGCGACTCCTCTGGTAAGAGAGGAAAGCCAGAGATGACAAACGGATTTTGATTGAAGTCAAAGAACTGGAAGTTCTTGGTTTCAGGCTCACTGCCTCGTAAGGGTTTTGCACCGTTCTCGGCATGGACGACCGCGGCTGCGGCCATCGCAATTGACACCAAAAAGAGCTTCATTGTGTACCGTCGGTTGCCTGGAGCCAGATAAGGTACTTTTCGTGCTAAACAGTAAGAGCTGAGAGACTTGCCTGATTATACTTGTATTAGCCCATTCGCCTTGTGCCCTTAACCGGAGCAAGGATTTGGAGGGGTCTTGTAGCCTGGACGAAAGAGCAATGATGCCGAAGCGAAAGATGTGACATCCACCGGCTCCACATTTTTCATTTTTCGGCCGTTATTGAAGCTTAGAAGACTCGCGGGAAGAGAAGCTTCAAACAACGGCCAAATTCTAGCTCGCAGGTCCCGTCAACCGTCAACTTCTTTCGCGGCCAAAACAAACCAAGGAATTCTAAACAATCTGGAGCAACAACTCTTTATCCAAGTCCAGCATACACAAACGAGTAATCTTGCTGTTCCGGAAATTGAAAACCATGGTGTGGGTCCCTTCCTTCGCGCTGTTGATATTCACGATCCTTCACGCTGGCGCAATAGAGGGGCGATTGCACCGGCCGTCGGAACAACAACGCCGAAGACTGAAAGGAGAAACCAATGCCAAGAATAGCGACACTAACAACAATAATGATGAGCTAGCAGATAAGAAAACAACGGTCCTGGATGAAGAGGAACAGTTCGAGCTCCATGATGTCTGCAGAAACAATGTGCCGGTGACACTCGGCGAGACGGTTCGTGGTGATCATCACAGTGGAATTCAAGGCATCTGCGACACAGAAGATAGCCAAGGTGCTTGGTATTCCATCAATGGCACAGGCCAAGTGCTTCGCGCTTCCGTTGTCGAAGGCAACGTTACCCGAATAGTTGTCTTTGCAGGATCTGACTGCGACCATTTATCTTGCGAAAACTCCATCACACCTGTTCTCACTGACAATCACAGCCAATCTTCCAATGGCTGGACTACGTTTTGGGGTACAAAAACGGGCGTAAGCTATTTCATGTATCTGTACGGAAGTGGACACTTTCAACTGATTCTTGCGGAGGAGAGACGACCCGACAACGATCAATCAGGCAACGCACTGTCAATAGAAGTTGGCGATTCGATTCAAGGATCAACTGCTTATGCATCCCCTGATCCCAGCGTAGGTTATTGTGGAAGGTAAGGAAGGAGCTTTGCGGCGTTGTGGGCTCTCCCTGTCTTTGGGTCCAATGGTCTCATGTGTTGTATTCGTGGCATTGTAGCTCCGCTTCCTCGCAGACGCGAAAGCGAGCTGCTCCCGGCCTCTGGTATCGAGTTTCGGGCACAGGCGCTCCACTACAGGCACGCCTAAGAACGGTTTCCGAGAGTTACAGAACACAAGCTTCCATCTACACCGAGTCATTGGAATGTGTTGCTCACGTAGAACGCCTCGAGTTATTTGATCCAGCCAGCCCTGAGTACTATGCCATCTCCACCGCCACTACCTGGCAATCGCTTCCAGGTCAGACATACTTCATTCAAGTCCTGGGACACCCAGATAGCTCCCCGGGGGCTTATGAGGAGGGTGGATTTGAATTGACCATCTTCCAAAGCAGTCCTCCTGTCAACGACAACTGTGATCGTGCCTCAGTGATACGTCCGGGGAACACGGAAAGGGGTTCCACGAGCTTTGCAACTATTGACGAAGACACACTGGTATGCAGCCAAGTGACTCTAGGCGAGACACCGACGGCCCCCGGAGTCTGGATGGTACTGTCAGGCGTACAGGGGCCCATGGAAGCGGCGGTTGAGTCAGCATATTCTTCTCAGCTAACAGTCTTTTCAGGAGACTGCGAGCGCCTAGTGTGCCTCGAAGGGACGGACAATGCCCCACCAGACGCTACTGATTTGGTGGCAACGAACTACAGTTCCGTCCGCTGGATCGCCCAATCTGATGAGATATATCACTTGTTGGTGCATGGCGTTGAATCGCTCGTCGGAATTTTCGATATTACTGTGTCCCATGCTGGAATGTCGTCAGGAGGACAGGGCGCGTCCACTCCTGAGACAACTACTCCGCCATCTAGGCCGGATGATGGCGGTAGCGATGTTACGACATCACCAAACACCGCAATGCCCACTAGCACTCTGTGGGAGGTTGAAACTGCTGCATCCATGGCCTTTGGTTTCTTCCCAGGAACTCCCATCAGAGCCCCAAACCAAGATGAGATTGACGGTCTCATGGTTGAGGTTAGTCACTTCTTTGCCAGAATCTTTCAGGATGCATTTGATGATGCCTTCATTCGATTTGAGGCTCAGGAGTACGTAACAGCGTTCAGTGATGACAGCGCCTTGCCAATTGTCATGAACTTTCTAGCGAAGGCATACTTCACCTCCGAGCATGTCGCCCCATCAGAACCGCAGATTTTCAACCTCATGGAAGGAGCAAACTTTCAGGACTTCATCAGAAGCTACGCTTGGCAATTGGAACCCTTTGGCGCAACAGTATTCTTTCAAACGCTGCGTGTTGTGTTTGACCAAGCTACACAGAGTCCCCCTTCGGGTGGAACAAGTGACTCTGGAGGCTCGCAGGCAGAATCGGTCCAGCGCATAGACGCTCGTGCGAAGATGCTCTTTAGCTTCTTCCCTGACACAGCAGTACGGGAGCCCACTCACGACGAACTCGATGGGCTGGTACTTCAAACAAGGCTGTTCTTCGGCGACGCATTTGACAAGAAATTTCCCGACTTTATCCGATTTGGAGCAATTGTGTCGGGAACAAATTTCACTGAAGACGCTGCACTACCAGTCGAAGTCTCCATGGATGTGTATGTGTTCTTTGAATTAACCGATATCAACGGCAACCCCACAACAGTAATTCACACACCCGATGAGGTCTTGTCGACCATGAGAGATGTGGAGATAACGTCATTCATTCAAAGCTATGTTTGGGAATCCAAACCATTCGCGGAAAATATCTTCTACGAAGCAATGCACATTCAGATCAGGCCAGACGGAGTCAATGTCTCGGCAGCCGAATCAACTGCGGTTGCTCCGCATGTTGTACACTCTAGAAACAAAGCTACGTTTCAATTCGCTCTGTCCTTCAGCTTTCACCACACTGCTACGGTGACTCTGCGACAACCAGTGCAAGCGGAAATCGCGGGGCTGCTGGTCAAAACCGACGACTTCTTCACGGCATTGCTCCTAGATGAGCTGCCAGGTCCGAGCGGATTCGGAGGTCTAAACCTAACCGCTGCTTCGGTCGACTACACAGAGACTAGGGAATTCGCTGTGGTCGTCGTGGTCAAGGCCGAAGTCACGTATCACGATGGATCTGATGTCAGCAGTCGCGCAACCGTCGAGGTAAGTGCACCCGAGGCGTTCACTCCAGTGGTCTACGCCGCAATTCTCACAAAGTTTCCTACTCCCAGCAAATGCTTGCACTGATGGAGACGGCTAATATGAAAGAGTATGTGGAGTATTACGTTTGGTTCGCCGACCCTCAGGGGCACTCCATATTTTTTGCGACAAAACAGGCGGTTTTGGAGCCTGACGTTCCACTGCCTTTGAACACTTCAGCCCCAACAACAGCCCCGCTCAGTTCTGGCTCTTCGGCACCAGGAAATGTTTTATCTGATGCAACTCCTGAACCAGCGGAGCTCCTTCCGGTTGGAACAGACATCGCCATTAGGTTTTTCTTTTTCCAGCCTCCAAACCGTGCCCCCACAAACGTCGAATTGGACTCTCTCACAAACCAAACAACGGCGTTTTTCACAAAGGCACTACAAGCAACATATTCAGACTTGATTCGTCTTGACCTGGATCTTATAACTGCCGGGTATGCTCCCTCGGGAGGTGCTCCGGCATCCATCGTATCCTGGAAAGTCAGCGTTCTCTTCTATATTTTGGATGGAAGCGGGGCTTCGAGAACTCCGGATCATGTGCTAAACATCCTCACGACCTCGGATGTAGAGGACTATCTCCACAACTACGTTTGGTCCACCCAGCCCCTGGGTTCCAACCTCTTTTTCAATGCAAGCGCTGCTCAAGTGGTTCTATTGGGTGACAGTAGTGCCACTACCGACGAGCAACCCACCCCGGCACCAACCGCAAGAATCAATACTAGTCAAGTGGTTGTTCATGCTTCCATCCTTTACGGTTTTCTTGAGGACATCGCGATTACGCGAACGCCCAATACGAATGAGCAGAACGGAATCCGACACCAAACAACCCTTTTCTTCACCAGGTTGTTCCGAGATCAGTTCCCCGAGTCTTTCCAACGTGTCGACACCTCCATCGATGATGTCGAGTTGCTTGGAGGAAACACCCTTCCAATCAGCGTTTCGTATGTGTTTACTGTCCAATTCAACCAAGGAGAAGCCGTGCCTTCGTTGGACGATCTCGTTACAAGCATGACAAACGCAGACTTCGAATCATACATCGAGAACTATGTGTGGACTTCCGGTCGGTCTGCCAATGGTATTTTCTTTGACACTCAACAAGTTTTATTCCAAGCAGTTATGTAACATGATGATGGTCTGCGTGGACCAGACTAACTGAATGTTCCTGCGAGAAGCAAACAAAGTGAGTGCTCCAACCCTGGCACTGAGCCAGATTCATAATTCATAGTAACACAGTCACCCAACAAACAAAGAATGCACCGTCGAGATTGGACTAGCAGCCCACAAAAGTGTGGCCGAAGTCAATTGTGCACGACCAGTTACCGGTACTGTAGCAACTTCAAGGCCAGTTGCGGATGTCACTGTTAGCGGTTCTCTGGTTGTAGCCTTGGCAAGATGCACATCATCCATTCAATCAAGGGGAAACGGGGAAGTTACCATTCAATCAAGCTTCATGGAACCTCCGAACGTACCGTACTTATTCAATCTTCTTGTGATTGTAATCTACGTAGATAATCCACCTGCTCTAAACCTCCCTTCCATTCTACGAGGGCTGCCCACGATGATTGTACATAACCACGGATCCCACGGAACCTACACATGTACAAGCCCTGATTTTCGACAGAGGACTCTTCTTTGTCGAACGTTGTAAGCTTGCTATCCACCTGCCGGTACCCCCGTACCGGTAGCCCCCGTACAAAACCACGGAACTGCTGCAACGGACGAAGCACAGACGGCATTGGCAGCATATTTTCTCTCCCGAACCAGTGGTGCTCCGCCACATTTTTCAACTCTCACGCCTAATTTGTGTCACCCCCTCCAACGTTCTCCCGATTTTGTCCTCGAATCAAGACCGATTTTGTTTTGTTTTTGCTGATCGATCGACAACAATTGTCTCGGACTTGGTTATTTCCAGCTGAGGCTTTGTCCACGTAAAGCCCTCTGGTTGCCTCCGAGTGCCAACTCCAGAATATTACTTCACAAATCGCTTCGACCATGACGCGTATTTCTCCTCTTCTCCTCTTTCTTGCGGCCTTGTGCCTCTCGCATCTACCGCTTGCCAAGAGCAGTACTCTGACGCGTGGTGCCCGAATGGCAAAGAGATCCTATGTCGACGATGACAAGATCATGATGAAAAAGGTTTCCACGTCCAAAGATTCATCAAAGTCAAAAGTACGTTCGAGCGGCCATTTCATTCAAAGGACATGCACCGTGAGTTGTAAATGTGATCTAACTGTGGCTTTGAAATCTCGTCTCTATAGGGAAAGAGTGGAAAAGGCGGAAAAGGTGAATACAAGAAGGTAGTAAAGAAAGAGAAAAAGTCGAAATCAATGGTACGTCGATCGTACGACACGGTGTGTCGGCTCAACAGCTGTCTGTTCTATTTCTAACTCCCATGTGATGTTGTTACTTGTTTGTTGAACGCACAGAAAAAGTCACACGCCAAGACAAAGGTGAGCGAGTATCCAGCTTGGGGAAGATTCGATTGAGTCATGAACAACCATAAAGGGAGACTTTGCCTAACCCTCGAAATTTGCTTTTGAAAACGTAGCTCAAGAAATACATGAAACAGGTAAGCTAGACTTGTTTGAATTGCCTACTGAGCATCATTCCTCCTGCTCAAGTCGTCTCGTCCTACAGAAGGAAGTCGTATATACTGGACCCACTGGACCCACTGGATCCTCTCCAGCCAAGCAAATGGGCATGATGGCGAAAGGTTACTCAAACTACCCCGATGAGAGTGCCACGGAAGGGTCAACCCCCAGTCCGCCACCCACGATTTCGTTGGATGAAGCACTGCCGGTTGAACCAATGCCCGAGGAAGAGAGTCCATCCGTGGACGAACCACCCACTACGGTGAGTTAGCCAGTTTTTACGGCATCTTTAGCAGAGGCACGAAAGAAAGATGCTCACGATGCTTGAATGATTCAATGACTCATTCCTTCGTTCTGTAGGCTCCTGTGGAAACTCCTGTGGTCGCCCCCACTGAGCCACCAGTGGAACCACCCGTTGAGCCACCAGTTGAGCCACCAGTTGAGCCACCAGTTGAGCCACCAGTTGAGCCACCAGTTGAGCCACCAGTAGAGCCACCAGTAGAGCCACCAGTAGAGCCACCCGTTGACGCACCAGTGGCTGTAGAAGAACCTACAGAAATGACAGAGGAGCCCACGGTGGCACCAGTTGCATCCATCTCTGAAGCCCCATCTTTTGCCCCAAACACTGAAGAGCCTGAAACTCCAGCTGCCACTCCAACGATGCCTCCGACAGTCATCATTCTCCCCGAAGAACCCACATCTGCTCCCACCATTGTCGAGGACACCATGGCTCCTACGGTGGACAGGGATATTACTGAAGCTCCAGTTCCAGACTTGAACAATGATGTTTGTACCGGGGCGGAACTGCTCACGATTGGAGAGGTAGTCTTGGGTTCCACTGTTGACGCCACTGACGATATGATCATGGAGGATTGCGGTACAGCCAGGTTTGGAGAGAGCTCGGCTCCTGGTCGTTGGTATGTGATAGAAGGAAACGGGCGAGAAGTGATGGTGTTTGTAAACGCAACTTATGACGTCCAGGTGGCAGTTTATGAAGGAGAAGATTGTGAATCTACAACATGTGTCGTCGGTACAGAGGGTTATCCTCCCAGCTTTGAACTTGGGCATGTCCGGTTCTCATCCGAGGAAGGGGCCCTTTATTATGTGTTGGTCTCTGGCTTTGAGGGCGCAGTCGGAGAATTCGGTTTGGTTGCGAGAGATCCAGTGCTGGTTCCAAATGACCAATGTTCTGGTGCAATTGAGATTGAGCTTGATGAGCCCATTGCAGCGACAACAATCTTCGCCACCCCCGACAATGATGTCGTTACTGACTACTGTACTCCTTTCAACACTTCTCAACCTGGAATTTGGTACAGCATTGAAGGAACTGGAACCAGGTTGCAAGCCAGAATCACGGAGGCATCATTTGCTGTTCAACTCAGTGTTTTCTCGGGGTCCTGTGATGAATTGGTATGCGAGGGTGGAAAAGTTGCAAGTCTTGCATTCAAGGTCACTCCCGTTGTTTGGGATTCTGTTGAAGGGGAGGAGTACCTGATCCTGGTGCACGCTGTAGCAGGCATGGTGGGCAACTTCGAGCTGCTCATATCTGAAACTTTGGCCCCCGACAATGACGAATGTTCTGGAGCTGTTCAGCTTCCAGTACCAACTGTCGGCTTCCCAGGGACAACCATTGGAGCTAATCTGGATGATGTGACTCATTGTGGGGGTGTGACCGAGCCGACGAGTGCAGGAGTCTGGTAAGTACTACAGGAATGCTACCAAGTGCAGTTTTCACCTGCTCGTGCTTCCTTCGCAGGCTTTCTCACCCTTTCCTTCCCTGCAACTTCCCCAAGGTATTATATCGAAGGGACTGCAGAAACACTCAGGGTGAAGCTGACAGCCGACTATGATACCCAGGTGAGTCTTGGAAGATAGCTTGGTCTCTCTGGAGGTGACCAGAAAAGTTTGTTCTTGATTGTTGTTTTATTGCCGACAAACTCTCATGCTTTCATCATTTCGCACACACACCAGGTTACCATTTACAGTGGTAGTTGTGACAGTTTGACTTGTCTTGCCGGGAACGACCAAGCTCCCTTCTCGAGTGGATCGAGTGAAGCCATTTTTGACACAGCAGAAGGCGAACTCATATGGATCTTGGTCCATGGCTTTGACCAAGATATCGGCGAGTTTCTCATCAACGTCGATGCTGTAGAAAGACCCAGAAATGACCAGTGCGATGAAGCCATTAGTCTCGAAATTGACGACCAGATTGCTGGCTCCACAGTCTATGCAAGCCTAGAGGACACTCCGACCTGTGGAGGGGCTTTGGGTGGCAATCAATCAGCTCCTGGAGTATGGTATACTGTACCGTCAGGTGAAGCACTCAATTCACCAACCCTCAAAATGTCCGTTTCTGCGACCTATGATGTTCAGATCAGTGTATTCACCGGACCAAGCTGTGGAGGCCTTCTTTGTGTTGCAGGTATGTGTACTTGAAAACAGTTCTTTTATTTCATCCATACTTGATTGCTTCTAATATCACCATCCAAACACACTTCAGGTACAGAAGGAGAAGGGCCAAGCTTCACAGCAGGTTCTGTTGCTTGGGATGCTGCTGAAGGAGAAGATTACTGGATTCTGGTACACGGATTCTTGGGACAGGTTGGAGTCTTCGAATTGGAACTATCAGAGACGGAAAGGCCAGCACATGATCAGTGTGAAGGTGCAATCCCTCTTGAAATTGGAGTCCCCGTCAATGACACCACTGCTCTAGCAACGACAGACGATGTGGAGGCATGCGGCTCCTCAACTGGTGGAGAGTTATCAGCGCCAGGGCTCTGGTATCGGGTGGATGGCACAGGGGACACCCTTGCTGCTACAGTGATTTCAGACTACAACGTTGAAATGTCAGTCTATAGCGGCGGATGCGATTCTTTGGTCTGCATTGACGGAGCTCAGGGACAAAACCCAACTTTTTCCACAGGTAGGACCCAATGCCACCAGATGTTCGTCTTTTGCGTTGTAAGCCTCATCGACCCGTGCCCTTTTCTGCAACTCTCAGCGACAATAGTGTGGGACTCTGCAGAAGGCACAACTTACTTTGTGCACATCAACGGTTATAATCAGGACACTGGGGACTTCCAGGTTAGTCACCTCTTCTCATTCATCTGCTCTTTGCCTGCGCTCTCTCTTGACATTGTCTGATTTTGCGCTTGATCTCTTTGGCTCGATTAGGTGCTGGTGATGGATGCGTCTAGGCCTCGCAATGACGATTGTTCCAATGCCATCGAGTTAGAATTTGGCGATACTGTCGCTGGCTCCACTCGATTTGCCAGTTTGGACGATGCTCCTGAATACTGCGGCGGGGCCAACAACAACACTGCCCCAGGCGTATGGTACAAAATCTCAGAAGGTGAAGCCATCACAGCAACTTTCCTTACAAACTTTGACGCTCAACTTTCGGTGTATTCAGGCGATTGTGCCTCATTGGTGTGTATTGACGGAGACGACGGTGACACCCCTACGTTTACATCAGGTTCCGTTTCGTGGACACGCGAAGCCGGCGAAACGTCGTACATTCTCCTGCATGGATTTTCTGGATCCGTCGGTTTCTACGAGTTGAATGTTGCGGCACAATCAGCTGAAGATCAACCCGAGGTAACTACACCAATCCCCGCCAACGACGAGTGTGAAGCAGCCATTGCCATTGAAGAAGGTCAGACAATCAATGGAAACACTGCTTCTGCTACGGAAGATGCAAACATTTCCCTGGAGCAAAACTGCGGCCTGTAAGTTTGTGCTGTGAATTTTAAAAGGAGCTTCCTGGCTCGTCTAACGGTCGCACTAACAACGGTTGCTGGAATCCTGGTTTTATGAAGTGCTTCCTTTCTCTCCGCCCCTGGAGTCTGGTAAGCCATGTTTGAAAGTACAACTTGGAACGTGGACAAGTAACCTCTCATCATTTCCAATTACCTTCCCAAACTTCAAGGTACTCTATTGTGGGTCAAGGAGGATTGATGCAGTTCACAGTGTTTGCGGACTATGATTCACAAATTTCAATCTACAGTGGCGGATGCGATGATCTTGTTTGCTCTTCTGGCAACGACGAGAGCCCCCTGGCGGATCAGACAGCGTCAAGTAGCTTGACAGACTTTCTAGACAGTGACGAAGAGTACAGAGTCTTGGTCCACGGCTACAATGGCGCTACAGGTCAATTCTTGCTCTCTGTTGAAGCTGTTGACCTTGCCCCCAATTCCGATTGTTCTGAAGCCATCGAATTGGAAATTGGAACGATGGCTTCAGGGTCAACTACCAATGCACTTGCTGGCGAGGTTGACAATGTATGCGGAGAGTAAGTTGCGGTTACGTGGCAAGAGAAATGTGGTGTTTGCATTGTCTCAGCCTTCTGTTTCCTTGCTGCAGTGCCGTGGCAGAGATCTCAAGCGCAGGGGTTTGGTACAAGGTCGACGGAACGGGCTCCACCCTCCTAGCAACTGTCAATGCAACATATCAATCGCAACTTCTTGTTTTGTCTGGTGATTGTGATGCACTTTCTTGTGTCGATGGGAATCTCCAGAGCCCAATCCAAGATCTTAGCGGTAGCAGCCTGGTCTGGGAAGCAACAGAAGGTCAAACGTACTATCTGTTTGTTTACGGATTCCAGCAAGGAGCCCAGGGAGACTTTGATATTCTCGTCACGGAAGTGAATCCACCAGAGAATGATGTCTGTGCAGATGCTGTACCAATTGATCCCACTGGAGACTCTGTGGAAGGATCCACCATCGTCGCGACTCTTGACGAAGGCCTAACCTATTGCGGAACTGCAAACAACAACACGAGTGCTGGGGTCTGGTGAGTGTAGCAAGAAGCTGCCGTTCGATACGAGTTGCTTGTGCAGGTGGCATCCTGACTGTCTTCTTTGCTTCCGTGACTCCTGCAGGTATTCGTTCACAGGAACTGGAGAGACCATTCTTATTGGGATGACGGGACAGGTAAGTGCAGGAAGCCAAGCGGTGCCTTTGCGATTGTGTTCCATGTGCAGCTTGCTGAGTGTCCTGACTCTGTTGCTCTTTTGTGACTCCCTCCTCTAAACAAAGTTCGATACACAGCTGTCCTTGTATTCGGGAGCCAGCTGCGACCAATTGGAGTGCGAGCAAGGCAATGACGAGAGTCCCGTGTCGGGTAGCAGCAGTACAATCTTGTTTGCCACGGAGGTTGGTCAAAGCTACTATTTGCTAGCTCACGGCTTCTACCCTTCACGTGGCAACTTTGAGCTGTCCGTACGAGAGATTGCCCCTCCCAGGAATGACGAGTGCAGCTCTGCCATTCCACTTGAGCTCGGAGATCAGGTAGGTCACATTTTTCTTCTCTTTCAGTGCTTGCTGCGAGTTTTCACTCACGCTGGAGCCATTGTTTGAACTCTCGTTCCAAGATTGCCGGTTCCACCATTGCTGCGACTGCTGAGGACGACTTTGACTTTGATGAGTGCGGAACGTCGCGCGGTGGAGAAGCGTCTAGTCCCGGTGTTTGGTACAGCATCGAGGGTGATGGAGGTCCCCTTCGGGCCGATGTGCATGCCACCTACGATATACAACTGACCGTCTTTGAAGGCGAAGATTGTAGCTCGTTGATATGTGTTGACGGTACCGATGGTGAATTGGAAGACTTCTCGAGAGGGTCTGTAGTCTGGGACTCTGTGGAAGGACAGGAATATGCGATTCTGGTGCATGGGTTCTCGGGCGTTGTTGGTGTATTTGAACTGACAGTAACGTTTGGATCACGGTAGGAATGTGGTGCCCCGATAACGAACACGAGGGGAGGCTACTGGACTGGGAATGCATGTAGAACCTCCAGTGCAAGCGCAATGATTTATTCATTGCAAAACAAAATGACAGACACTGCCTTAATGTGCTGTTGCGGTTCTAAGATAAAGCTGCTGTACAACTTTTACTTCATAGAATGATGAATCCAGAACTTGAAAGTCGCTGTACGGCTCAACCGTCTTGATCACAACGATAAGGACAAAAATTCTGTTTCAAACCTGCACTGTCAAGGGACCGAGCGGGCGATCAAAGGACGCTGATCTTGATGATGAGAGGAATGCCTCTCATTGCAGCGTTTTCCAGTTCCCGCTCCCGACATCGGAGGACGTTTCCCAAGCTCGACATGCGGTTGCACAGGCTGCAGGCAGACGGTTTCAATACTCAGGTACAGTACCGCACTGCATTGCCAGGATTCAGGTAGTCTAAGTCTTTCACCACACGTCAAGCTTTTAAAAGCAGGTCTAGCTAGCTAGAGTTCTCTGACGGCATGTGTTTTATTTCTTTGCTATAGAAACCCAGAGATTGGACAACTTCGGGTTTTCGATGGGACTTTTTCTGGCTGCGGCTGGCTGGGTAGACCCGTGCAAGAAGGCTTTGGCCCTTCTTCCTACCATTACATTTTACGTATTCCAATGTGTGTTGTTTCTCTCTAAACTCGGGATAGATGTGATGAAGTGTTTTGTACAAAGCATGGCCTTGGGCTGAAGAAGAATGGAGGATGGGAGATGGAGGGTGGAAGATTGGATGGAGGATGGAAGATCATATAGCTCCTTTCGAATTCACAACTGATTCCATGTCGAATGGGCAGAACACCAAATCTATAGCTAGCAATGTTTTCAGTTGCCCCACTATGGCAAAGCTTGGCCTTGTGCTGAAGAAGAATGGAGGATAGAAGCTGGGAGATGGAGGATGGATGATAGAAGCTGGGAGATGGGACATGGAGGATGGAAGATGGGACACGAGGATGGAGGATGGAGGATGGTAAAGTTCCTTTCGATGTCATGACTGATGGCATGTCGATGGGCAGAACACCAAATCTCTAGGTTGCACTGTTTTCGGTTGCTCCAATATGACAAACCAGGGCCTTGGCCTGAAGAAGAATGGAGGGTGGAGGATGGAGGGTGGAAGATGGAGGATGATAAAGTTCCTTTCGACGCCACGGGCAGAACACCATTTCTCTTTTCGTTCGCCCTTCTCCAATTCCCGTTGCGTCGCCAGAACTTTGACTTCGTTCTCTTGTTTGTTTGTTTCATTCATTCATTCATTCATTCATTCATTCATTCATTCATTCATTCATTCATTCATTCAGTAGTGGACGACAATTTGAATATCAGCAACGTTGGTCAAGGACATGCCCAGCATCATGACCAACACAAAGGCCGCCCAACGAGCGACCATTCCACCCACGTGGGACGCTTCTTGCCACACGCCATCACTGCTGCTGTGACCATTATTATTATTATTCGTGAGGGTCACTTGCTTATTCTTTTTGGAACCACGGCGACTCCTCTTTCTACCCATAATCTTGTCGTAGAAGTACCCTTGACTGATATTACTGGCTCGAATGACCGGTGGTAACAGCTTGGCCATTTTGTGTGCCGGGACAAAAATGGTGGTGGGAGGATCATCTGTGGTTTCTTCGTCGTGGAATGTTGTAGAGACTTTGGTGTAGGTACTATGCATAGCAGTTGGCAGGAACCGAATGTATCGGACGAGGCTCTGGATGACTCCCATTCTCTTGTGGTTATTATTATTGGTAAGGGATGATAGGGACGTCTTCGACTCTTTCTTCTTCCAACTTGAACGAAGAGGGTTCATTCTTATTTATAAATGGCGACAAAAGGAACACGATATACTAAAAACCTGGATTGATGGATGCATGCACTGACGACTGATGCAGAAGATGACCTGATGAGACTCGAGTCTTCCCCTCGAAAACTTCCCCACGCACCCTTCCTGTGTGAGATCTCCAATCACGTGTCCCGAAGATTTGGGTTTTCCACGGCCTGCAAGCTCGCATTTTGCGGTTGGTCAAACAGACCTTAAGTGACAACACTGCCTAAGTACAAAGCGGGAATCTCAATGCAGTTAAGGTACTTAGCCATGAACGTTATATTTGAATTCGAGCTTGGTAATTAGGTGGTCATTTTTTCGTGGCCCTTGGCGGCAAAGCAAACCACGAACATGTTGGATTGCTTTGTTGGATTGCCTTCGTGTTGCTGCTGCTCAGAGCTTTCCGATTGTACCAGAGAGCTTGTAGTAGTCATTCTTGATTGTGCACTAACTACTAGCTAGCTAGAGATAGACTGAACCTATTTGGCAGTGTCGTCTTGTCTGCCACAACCAAGCCAAGCCAAATCAAACCAGAGTCCCACAAACACCCCGCAATCACCAAACGGATAGTCACGCGGTAGAACACCCAGCCACATCAATCTGTCAATCAATCAGCACAAACCCTACCCCACCAAGCGATATCTCCAGCAAAGGAAATCAGATACCGTCGTCGTGGTGATAGAGGATGAAGAAGTTCTCATCCACCCCCTTGTTGGCCCAAGTGGCGGCGGCTCTGTTTTGGATATCGGTCGTTCATGGTGGACATGCCGCCACGAGCAGCCTCAAGGGTGCCCGACTTCGTGGTCCACGAAAGCTGGGAGGAATGGCTAACAGCATGGCACAAATGAGAATGAGAATGATGGAAAAGGTGAGTAGATAATATATTTCAGCTATTGCAACGCATACAGACTTGGGATGAATATTATTTGGCCTCTCAGACTCACATTCCTATTGCTGACCGATTCCCACATAGATTGATAAGGAGAACGCCTACGCACCTGCCGCCGATGACGACGAGTATCTGTTATTGGTCGAAGACGATTATTTCAAGGGTGAGTCAGGTGTCGATACGGCTCCACAAAAGAAAAATGGCAACAAAGAGGCTGGAAAAGGACAAGCCATGGACGAACCAGAGAGCTTTGAGGACGAGATTGTAGCAGAACCTGACAAACCCGACAAGGGCACAGGTGGCAAAGGCAAAGACATGGGCAAAGGCAAAGACATGGTGGAGGAAGAAGAAGAAGAAGAGGAAGAGGAAGAAGAAGAAGAAGAAACTGTAGACGACTATTTTGAATCTCCCTATGCTGATGAACAAGAGAGCATGGGTGACGGCAAGGGCAAAGGAAAAGGCAAGGGAAAAGATCAGGACATGATGATGGCAGAATCGGAAGATGACATGCCGCCTACAGGCAAGGACAAGGATGGTGAAAAGGAAACACAAGATGATGTGCATTTGGAGGAAATGGACTCGGAGGAAGAGGAAGAAGAAGAAGAGGAAGAAGAAGAAGAAGAAGAAGAAAACGAGAGCATGGGTGGTGACAAAGGGAAAGGAAAAGGCAAGGGCAAGGACAAGGATATAGAAGAGGAATACGAAGAGGAGGAAGCTGTGGACGACTACCTTGTGGCTGATGTGCCTGACGATGAAGAGGAGAAGCCCATGGGTGGTGGCAAAGGGAAAGGAAAAGACACAGACGACAACGATGAAACGGAAACGGAAACGGAAACAGATATGGAAATGGTGGAAGAGGATAGTATTGATGTCGACATGATAAATGAGCCGGAGAGCTTTGAGGAAGAGTACATGCCTCCGCCTAGCAAAGACAAAGGCAAGGGGAAGGGGAAGGACAAGGATATGGAAGAAGAAGACGAGGAGGACGAAGAAGAAGACGAGGAGGACGAAGAAGAAGACGAGGAGGTCGGGGAGCCTGCCCAAGCTCCAGACATATCTCCCGACGACAGTGGGGAAGACATGGAGGAAGAGACGACAGGTGGAAAAGGAAAGGGAAAAGGAAAAGGAGACACTGTGCCCGAAGAGGAATCGGAAGATGAAACATTCTTGATGCCTCCTGAGGATTCGCCAGACGAAGCAACCGAGATGCCCACCCCCATGCCCACTATTGTGGAAACAGATGAGCCGCCCACCTTGGAACCGGTCACTGTATGCCCTGCCGATATCCTGCAATGTCCTGATGGAAGTACGGTGGTGCGAGAAGGACCGTATTGTGACTTCCCAATCTGTCCAACAGTGCCTCCGACGCCTGAGACGGAATCTCCTACTCCTATGTTACCTGAAACCGAAGCACCCACAGCAGAGCCAACAGCGGGCGAGATCCCAGTCACCGAAGCACCCACATCAGAGCCAACAGCGGGCGAGATCCCAGTCACAGAGCCACCGGCCACCGATGCCCCAGAAACTGCCCAGCCGACGAACGGAGGAGAATCCATAACGGAAGCTCCGGTTGTGGATCCATCAGTCACTGAAGCACCGGTGGAACTCAACGACAGTTGTTCGCTTGCCATTCCAGTCACCGTTGGAGAGGAGATTGAAGGTTCCACAGTTGACGCCCAGTTCTCAGAAATTGAAGGATGCGGATCGGCCCTCGGTGGAGAGCAGGCAGCTCCTGGACTATGGTACACGGTAGTTGGAACAGGCGCTGGTCTCAAAGCCGCAGTCAACTCAAGCTACGACATCCAGATGTCAGTTTTTGGAGGTCCTGATTGTGACACTTTGCTCTGTATTGGTGGAACAGCAGGCGAAGAATTCCCGTGGACAGACGCCGAATTCAGTTGGGCAGGAGACGAAGGAGAAACCTACAAAATCTATATCAATGGATGGGAGGGACAGACTGGAGCCTTTGTTTTGAAGGTGACTGAGGGTGACGTGCCTAGTAACAGTGAGTGTTCCAGCGCCATTCCTGTCGAGAGCGGACAAAGGGTAGGTGGAACCACCGAGTTCAGTCCGATTCCAGATCTCGAACCGTGCGAGAGCGAGGAATTCTTCACCAATATCACAGCCCCCGCCGTTTGGTACTCTATTGTTGGAACTGGAGACATCATCCAGCTATCTGTGTGGGCTGAATACGACGCACAAGTATCGATTTATCAGGGAGACAGCTGTGACGCGTTGTCGTGTGTTGCGACCAACGATGATTCCCCCGTTGATGGTCCGAGAAGCATCATATCGGAACGACTCGAAGATGGACAACAATACTTTATCCTCGTTCACGGTTTTGGTCAAGCTGCTGGAGATTTTGGCCTTGTAGTGGAAACCTTGGAGGCTGCCCCAAATGATGAGTGCTCCACTGCGGCGGCACTGACGTTGGGCGTTCCTGAGCCTGGGAATACTTTCCCTGCTAGCAGCGACGATGTCATACCATTTTGTGGGATGTAAGTGAACGGCGTTACACAATCTACTTTGGCAGCATTCGTGTTCCTTTTCAACTTGGATCCAGTCTGTGTGCGACTTACAAATCAGTTTTCCTGTTTTTACATTCTCGCAGTGGAACCAACGAATCAAGCGTTGGCGTGTGGTATTTCGTAGCTGGGACAGGAGGCATTCTACAAGCGTCTTTGAATAATACTCTGATCTTGGACTTCAGCATTTACTCCGGCGACACTTGTGATGCCCTCACCTGCGTCGACTCGCAGGACCGCGCCCTTTTCCCTCTGGACTGGGAATCGGTGGAAGGAGAACAGTATTTTGTATACGTATACGGGTCTGACAAGTTGCAGAAGGACCAGTTCGAACTGCTCGTAGAGGAAGTGGACAGGCCAGCAAACGATCTGTGCGAAAACGCCGTCCCCTTGCGGATCAATGAGCGACCCACCGATGGAACTACAAGTGCCTCCTCAACTGAAGAAGGGCTCGAGTTTTGTGGAGAAGTCTTTGAAATAGGCTTTGGAGGTGTCTGGTAAGGATTGATCGGACTCGGTTTACTTCTTCTTTCTTTGATGAACCCCGTCCTCACGTGCATCTTCGCAGGTACTCGTTCACGGGTAACGGAGACCTGCTGCTCGTTGGAGTCAATTCAGCAACCGAAGGTGTGCTCCCATTCGACTCACAACTCAGCGTATATTCAGGCGCAAGCTGCGGCGAGCTTACATGCATAGACGGAAATGACCAGGGAAATAGACTTGGCTATTCCAGTGCAGTGTCGTTTACATCGGTGGAAGGAGAGACCTACTATGCGCTCGGTAAGTACACAGAAAAGAAGGCGAGGCATCGTGGCACGCTATCGTGTTGAACGGAGCCTTACCTGCTCTTGCCGTCACCCGTCTCCCAGTGCATGGTTGGGCATTGAGCCGTGGGGACTTCACCATTGAGTTGCGAGGAGTTGGGCGGCCGTTCAACAATAACTGTGAAGATGCCATTGCATTGGAACCCTTTGACACAGTGCCAGGGGCTACCTATTTTGCCCAGCAAGACGAGAACCACGATTTCGAAACATGTGGAAGTTCTCAGGGCAGAAACTATTCGTCTCCCGGTATATGGTACAGGTGAGCTACTGTCATCGAGCTTAAAAAAGTGAACTGAAGTTCAAATGACTGCAGTAGCTAACGTTGCTTCTCCAAACCCGACTACCAGCGTCGAGGGGACAGGAGGCTTGTTGGAAGCATCTATTCAGGCTACATATGACGTTCAACTCACAGTTTTCAGCGGAGAATGCAGCGGCTTGGCATGTGTATCAGGTACAGAAGGGTTCACCACAGACTTCTTCTCCGGTTCTGTGCTCTGGGAATCCGTGGAAGGCACTGTATATTCGATCCTCGTGCATGGTTTTTCGGGCCAAGTCGGGGAGTTTGAACTGTACTTTGCCGAAGTTGCACGGCCAACCAACGATATATGTGAGCAGGCAATAGCCCTGGAGGTAGAAGACTTGGTTCAAGGGTCCAACGAGTATGCTGCCGACGATGTGGTCCCAGATTGCGGTAAGTGAAAATGCAAGGGCATGAATGCAAGGATATCGTGACGTTGATCTTACCCGACTCTTGACTCTTCCATGTGTATACACAGAGGACAACACAGATCCAGTATCTTCAATGGCCCCAGGCGTGTGGTATTCATTCAGAACAGACACACTTCCTCCAGGGGATAGCATCTATAGTCTGACGGCGCTGCTGACAAACTACACGGTGACATTTCAACACCAGATCTCGATTCTGCAGGGAAACAGCTGCGCTTCCCTGCAATGCATTGGATGGGATAACTCGGATTTTGTTTCGGCAACGGTTGAGTTTTTCCCTCAAGCTGGTGTCCAGTATTACATTTTGGTGCAAGGCGAAGGTGACTCAAGAGGCCAATTCGAGCTTGGCTTGTACCCCATCGAGAACGTGTTGTAGTAGCTAGCTAGGGCGAGAGCTACGAGCAATCAAGGGCTGTGATTTGCGTGCATGCAGGCATGCAAAAAGCCCGGACGAAGAACTTATTAGATAAACTGCTTTGTATCCAGTATGCAAATAAGGAATCCGGTGGTCTCTCTGAAAGGGACTGCCGTGCGGTGTGTATACGGGCAACTCTTAGTGATAGATGTAATTGAAAAAGTATTCATGATTTCTCATCCCTTCTCTACTCTAGCTAGAGCTACCGTGGCTAGCATTCAACCAAAGAGGTGCGGTTGCCACCCCAATCCAATCGTCAAGGTCGAGGATCACTGTGTGAGGACTGATTCTCCATTAGAGCTAAGGCGAAAAGGCTTCACCGAGACCCCACGCGATACCGGTACATGTACAGTACACGCTCTTAGACGCACACTACGCTGTATCCATCCTCGTCCTTTTCACGAAAACCAATCCATCGGACCGAAACGCGACGCCTTCCACAACAATGACACAAATCCAATTTTACCTTTGTTATTATTACCGGGGCCTTTGCTATTATTGACTGAACGGAATAACCATGCCGCCTGTATCCGCCAAAAGCATCCCCTGGGTCGAACTGTACCGTCCGAAGAACCTCGATCAAGTGTCACATCAAGTGGAAGTAGTGGCTACCCTCAAAAAGGCTGTGGAGACAGGACAACTTCCACATCTTCTTCTGGTGAGTCGAGTCTCTACCCTGCCACCACGCCTGTTGTCTCGCAAGCTTATTGTGACTCATGAATCCTATTAATTTTTATCACAGCATGGACCACCAGGGAGCGGGTACGTAGTCTATTTGCGGTTGATGAGTGCTACGTATCATATCCTTGTCTCTCACGATGGATTTTTTAAATATTGATGGGACAGAAAAACATCTGTGGCTTTGGCATTGTGCAAACAGCTCTATCACCCCTCCCAACTCAAACGACGAGTGTTGGAACTGAATGCCAGCGATGAACGAGGAATCTCAGTGGTACGCGACAAAATCAAACAATTTGCCAGTCTGACGGTGGGAGGCAGTAGCAAGTCGTCTGGCAGCAACAAGATGAAGTCCAGCTTTTTGGTGAAAAAGGACAACCAAAAGGACGAAAAGATGGACGAAGGAGAGGACACTAAACATTATCCCAATCCACCCTTCAAAATTATTATTCTTGATGAAGCTGGTAAGGTGGTTGGTCCTTGGATTGATGATTGTGGTTCGGTTGCTGGACACATAAACCAATGCTGTCTCACTCCCAATTCCTGATGTTTCTTCTTGATTAGACGCTGTTACACCAGATGCCCAGGCAGCATTACGACGAATTATTGTAAGCATATTCAATCGTGAGCACAGTGTCTCATTTTAACAACTCAACTCACCATCTCCTTTTTCATGCAATGAAAATATCTGGTCTTTGCAGGAAGCCTATTCCAACATCACACGATTCATTCTAATTTGCAACTATGTGTCTCGCATTATTGAACCTGTCGCAAGTCGATGCGCCAAATTCCGCTTTCAAAGTCTTCCCGTGGACAGCATGAAAAAACGATTGCAAGATATCGCATCTCATGAAGGATTGACAGTCAAGGATGATATCGTTGACGAGGTTTTGAAACTATCCGGTGGAGACATGCGAAAAGCCGTCACGACTCTTCAGTGCGTCCATTCCTTGGGTGGCAGTAGTAGCTGCAATGTAACTACGGAAACAATCTACGAAATGGTGGGTCTGTGTACTCCCGGTGTCTTTGACGCTCTTTGGGAAGACATTTGGTCAGGTGAGATCGGGCGGGTGCAAAAGACTGTGGACGACATTTGTGCCGATGGCTTTTCTGCCCAGTTTTTGCTCGATGGTTTGACCGACAAAGTGGTATCCAGCGACAAAATCAACGATATGGCCAAGGCTACCATAGCCATCAAGATTGCCGAGGCCGAAAAGATGATGATTGATGGTGCAGATGAAGGCCTCCAATTGATGAATGTCTGCAGCCACGCCTTGACTGCTGTTGCGACTTCAAAGAAATAAATGAGAAAAGGTCGGGGAGACATCAATCTCCAGTGGGTATAGATTCCACGGTATTGAAGCCACCCATGAGAGAAGTTCGGGGAGACGGCAATCTTCAGTGGGTATAGATTCGATTCCACACTGAAGCCATACTTCGTTGGTTGGCTACTACCGTATATCAAGCAATAAGCTCTCAACAATGAAAACTAGCACTTGCAGAGGCTTTGAAGGTGCCTTCAGCCAGGATGCTATCGTCTCTAGTCTCTAGTACGTTACAGTACCGGTACTATTCGTGTTGTAGCTGCTACGGTACGAGTACTTCTGCTATTAGTGCGTCAAAGAAACCTGCGGGTGACAAGCCCCTCCGCACCTTCATAAGGTTGTGTGGATGGTCGGTACCGACCCGTACAGCGTGCGGCCCACGTGCCAATGGACTGCCATAGGAACGTGTCGTTTAGAAGGACTCAGTCACTCGGTCCTGCTACCATTGCCATGTCGGAGGGAAATCTGCCTATAGGACTTGCCATCGGTATCATGTTGGTAGTCATCAATCGTACAGCCGATGACGTTCAGAGGATCCTAGTAGTCAATTCTCTCCAACGGAGTGCCTCGTATCGTCTTGTTGCTCAGAGCCAGTAGGGAAGTTCATAATTGTGAAAAGCAAGGGAGACACGTGCAGGTATCTGTGGATACGCTGTATCATCAGTGCAAGCCATGGTCGGGAACTTGATAGCTAGCTGACTCTAGCTAGCTAACCACAGGTTTGGACGTTTGACAGTAGGGGAAAGCTAGATCTACATGCATTCTTTCGGTGTCATCGCTGCTCACGATCTGTTCGATGGCCAAAGATTCGTGTGATGGCCAACATTCACCGCTACATGTACCGGTAGTAGGTCGTCAGGTGATAACTGCCCATCAACGGCATTACATCTGTGACTTGTAAATGGAAATCCGGCCAAGCAACAAGGAAATTATTGGAGTTTCCCCAATATCGGCACAAACCTAATTCAGGCGAAAGATACTTAGCGAACAGGCATAGCGGGGGCTTCGCGTGTGATATCTTTTGCTGAGTGCCAATCGGCCGAAGATGAATGACCCCCCCGAAGCTGCTCTCCAGTGATATTGGACTCAGATCGGTTCGGATGATTGTCTGTTGATCAATCAATAAGCCACTATCAACCTGACCTGTTCATAGTAATCAGATAGCCACTACTAGTCAAGTGACAGACCATGAAGTTACCTTCAAGCATTCTATCCATCCTAGGATTGGCCTTGGCCATCCAACAAGCCCCTGTGGCACAAGCCTCGGTCTCTCGAGGTTTGAGTGGAGAATCAACCGCAGAGCCCTTCCCTGAGGACGATGACCAGAGAACCCAGAGTCCTGATCCCGGTCTGCCGTCTGGAGAGACTCCTGCGAATGACATGTGTGCTGATGCACAGGTGGTTCAAGTAGGTGACCAACTGGTGGCATCTACCGACGCAGCAACCACCGGTCAAGCGGATACCTGTGGCAGCTTCTCGCCCGAGTTCTCCTTTTTTGGCCCTGGAAACGCCACGGGAGTCTGGTTCGCCATTGAAGGAACTGGAGGAGGTCTCGAGGCAGAAGTCAATGCTACCTATGATATGCAAGTTGCCGTTTATACCGGATCCTGTGATGAGCTTGCCTGTGTGGATGGAACTGCAGGAGATCCCCCTCGTTGGGACTACGGTGATATCAAATGGGGCTCCAAGGAAGGAGTGATGTACTACATTTTAGTGGCTGGCTGGGAAGGCGATGTAGGAGACTTTACTCTCTCCATTTACGAAGGCGAAGAACCAGAAAACACGGATTGTGCGGCTGCCGTACCACTCACCATTGGAGAGACTTATGAAGATGGCACTACCGAGTTTGCTACCATTCCCGATGAAGGAGACTTCCCAGCTTGTACTATGTAAGTACAGTAGTGATGGCTGACGGCCTGTTCTTGTGGAGATATGCATTTTTCTTTGCAAACTCTAACCCAACCCTGATCACTTGCAACCTATGCAGTGGCGAGTTCTTGAATGGCATCACTGCTCCCACGGTCTGGTTCAGCGTAGTGGGTGCGTCTTTCACGGATATAGTCAGTCAGCTTGGAGTGCTTTACACTAGCCTGACCTCTTGAGGATTTCTTTCTCTGTTTGATTTCTTTCTTCAGGTAATGGGGAGATTACCCAGTTCTCCCTAGTTGCAGATTATGATGGTTGGATCTCCATCTACAAAGGAGATAGTTGCGATGAGTTGGAATGCATCAATTCCAACGATGATTCTCCACTCAACGATGGCTCGGAGAGTGTGATTGCTCAACCACTCGAGGAAGGCGCCACTTATTTCATCAATGTACACGGTTATGAGAAGAGCTATGGTAACTTTGGAATCGAAAGCAAGACACTAGAACCAGTCGCAAACGACATGTGTTCGGATGCTGAACCGTTGGAGTTGGGCGTGAACGCGTCTAGTAGCAGTTTGGCTGCCACTGCGGATCCTGGTCTCCCTGAATGTGGACTGTACGTTCCAAGATGATGTTTGTTCTTATGATGGGCTAGTTGTCTCTTGAAGTTTCTGACGCTGTTGTTTTTGCTAAATCATACTGTCTGTTGATGATAGAGGCACCAACGAATCCTCTATTGGAGTCTGGTACACGATGGAAGGGACCGGAAACCCTGTGCAAATCAGACTTGAAGGATCTGGCTTCAATCTGGAGCTTCACTTCAGCATCTACACCGGAAGTTGCGACGATCTTGTTTGTGCTGGTAACCAGTTCGTTGGCTTCTTGCCGTTTACGTGGGATACCGTGGAAGGAGAGACGTACAACATTTATGTCTACGGGCGCACTCGTGCTCTATCCGACATCTTCACAATCATTACGGAAGAAGTCGAACGGCCAGCCAATGACATGTGCGAGGACGCCGTGCCATTGGTACTGAACGAGGTTGTGTCTGGTACTACACTTGCCTCGAGCGCAGATGAAGGGCTGGAAACTTGTGGCGATGTCATAGGTCTTGGTTTTGGTGGGGTTTGGTATTCTTTTGAAGGTAAGAAAGTATCGTACCGGGTTTTCGCCGTGTTTGTTTAAGCTCGCAACTTATCAATCATCGTCTTTTTCAGGAAACGGTGACAGACGTCTTGTTGGCGTGAGCTCAGGCTCCAATGGAACCGGTTTCTTCGATACCATCCTCTCTGTCTACGAAGGAGATTGCGGCTCTCTTACCTGCGTTGGCGGTGACGATCAGGGCCAAGGTTTCCTAGAGTACGAGAACGTAGTTCTTATTGATACTGTCGAGGGAACCATGTACTATGCCTATGTCCATGGATTTGGACTCAGCCGTGGTGACTTCGAAATTGCAGAGATCGGCATCCCCCGCCCAGAAAATGATGCCTGTGAAGATGCTACGCCACTGGAACTCGGAGATAATGTCGAGGGTTCCACTCAGTTTGCGGGCACGGACATGGTTGACATTGAATCCTGTGGAACCTCCCAGTTTGGCAATGATACAGCCCCTGGTCTCTGGTACACCGTGGTCGGCGAAGGTTTCGCGGTTCAAGCTTCGGTGAACGCCCAATATGATTTCCAAATGACTGTCTTCTCCGGAGATTGTGATGCGCTGGAGTGTGTGGACGGAACGGAAGGAAATGAGGGCGACTTTTTCAATGGCGGTTTGATCTGGACTGCCGAGGAAGGAGTTACCTACACTGTGTTGGTCCACGGCTACAACGGAGGTGTTGGATCCTTTGATTTGTTCTACGAAACTGCAATCTTCTAAGCTACCTTGGTGACATGCTCGTGTTGCCAGCGTCCAGTCCACGGACTATATCTGTAGATTTCATGCAACCTGCTTCAATTATTAAAGTTAAATGTGTTGGTTTTTCTGTGGCTTCTAAGCAGGGATGTATCATTTCCTCCAGTTGAAGGCGTCTTCAAGGTTTCCATGATGCGAGGACAAAGCGTGGAGTCGAGCAGGTGACGCTGAAGCCGCTCCTGGACAACATGAACCACGGCCCGGGTATGTGTCAAGACGACCAAGAAGAGAAAGAAGACTTGCCCTGGAGAAGAGGCGCTTGGTATGATATGCTTCCGACCAAAACTACGAGGCCGTGTTTCGTCCGAGGTAGTCAACGAGCAATCGACGTACCGGTACTAGAGTAAAACCAGAGGCAAAATCCATGGCTTGTCCTGGCCCTTATTAGGGCGAAGGCCCCACATTTTGTAACCTTTTCGTCTTGTCACTGGAAAGCTTCTGACCTCCTTCATTCCTGAGGCTCCAAGAATAAATGAAAACCGATCCAGACGATGGTACGAAAAGCCCAGGAGCTCCGGGAGATGGAATATGGAAACTTGAGAGTGAACAATGCGCAACGTACGAGCTTTGCTCAGTTTTAATAAGTACGGCAGGAGCTTATTCGTTTTTGCTATTGCTCAACAGGGCTTCAATCTCTTCTAGGCGATCAGAAATGGCTTTACGTTGATCGTCATCCTCCATTTCCTCGGTTGGCAATTGGAGCACTCGCTGGAGAGCCTGAAATTCCCCAAAGAGGTCGTCTCCCTTTTTGTTATGCCGGTAGGGTTCGAATGTTGACAATATAGTTCTAGTAAGGACCAGAGCACACAATCACAAAAAACAAGGCAATCTGCTCTGCTACATACCTTTTCACAGACCTTGATCATACACTGCAGTGGCTTCAGCTGCTCGTACTGTGAGAACACTAAAGCGGCAAAGGCATCCTTACTGCAATACAACAACACGGAAAGAAGCATTAGAAGGAAGGCACATTGTGCTAGCTAGGGCAAGATGAATCAACTTTACTGTATCTTACCGGGCACTATCCAAATCCTCTAGATGGACAAGATGCAGAAGGGCTGAATCACAGCAGACATCAATCAGCCATTGCAATGCCTCTTGCTTGGTTTCTTCGTCGTCCAACTCTTGCAACTTCAACGCCGGCTTCCTTCCCAGGTTTAGGGCATCGGCAAAGGACCGCGAAGCCTTTTCGTATTCTTGGTCTTCCAGGAAGCTCGTCGCTTCGGCTGCAGCATCATATCCAATCAGCAATCTCTGTTTTAGAAATTCAACATTGTTGCTGTTGGATGCCAGCAACACCGCAAAGAGAGCTCCCAGTGAGTGCATCGTTGAAGGAGGCAAGTAAATTGTCAGTCGTGGAACATGAATGAGGTTGGAATGATGTCCAATGCTTGCCACAGTCGCACCAGTGCTTGATTTTTAGTGCCAGAGTGCCAGCCTGTGCCAACAATAGCCAGCCGCCTTGCGAGTGTGTGTGGCTCGGAACCTAGCTAGCCATAGGCCATGCAAACGACAAATTTGTCCAACATTTCGGGGGCGAGCTCGTGTGTGGGGTAATGGACAATGATGGTATACTTTCGTCCACTGCTTACGATCGAAAATGCCATCTTTTGTTTGCTCTCGCCAAAGATACCTACAAGAAGAACCAATTTTGAATTTCGAGCTGAACCTACAGCTTTTTCCCACACAGAATCATTTGCGAGTGAGAAACTCAAAAGCTTTTTACAGAGGACTCTGCCTCCCTTGGCTTTGGACGGAGCGGAGCAACCGAGTGCAGATCCCATATTTCGATCATTCGTGCTGTTCCCGATTGAGCAACATAACAACTACTCGTAATAGCAACGGCAAGCAGCAAGTATTGATCAAGGATCACAGCAACGAGCAACCAAATTCTCGCAACCAACTCGCAAACAAGATACTACTAGTACGCACAGCGAGACAACAGTATTGTAGGACAAGCGCCAGACAACCATCACACCATCATCATGAGGCTGTCTTTTAACCTCATTGTAACCCTTGGAGTGATCTCGCTCCTAAAGGGCGCATTCGCCGAGAAACAACATGTGGAAGAAGCCGCAAAACGTCAACATCTCAAGTCGAAGCCCCACAAGTATGAAATCTTTTTTAGACCCAAGCCAGAGAAGTCTCCCCTCGAGGCGGTCCTTCCACCAAAGGTGAAACCACTTGCCGGAGGGAAGCCTTTGCCAGCAAAGGAAGAGAATACCAAGCCAAAGAAGATCGAAAAGGAGGCCGGAACGAAAACCAACAACCGCACTGGCCCCCGATCAAAAATAGGATTATGGAACCCGAGAACTGGCGAAGGTTTGTTGCCTCCTCCTCCTACCGACGATGAAGGGGACGACGACGCCCCGACTCTTCCAGATTCATTGGGACCGCCGTCGGACCATGAATCACCTGACGAACCCGAACCGGACAACGAATTTGAAGACTCGGCTGATATGACGGGTGTGCCAGAAGAGACCTTCGTGCCGACCTTTTCTCCTACACCTGGATTGGATGTGCCGACTCTCTTTCCGTTGGGAACTCTTGCTCCGGTGGGGAGTGATGCGTGTGATGCTGCGGTTATGATTGACGTCGGTGACACACTGGTTGGCACCACAGAGGGAGCCCCAGAAGCCAACCTCCTTGACTGTGGAACACTTTTTGGAGGCTACATTGCACCCGCGTTGTTCTACTCGTTCACCGGCACCGGAGATGGCGTGACAATCTCCTTCAGTGCGTCTTTTGATATCTTTATGCATGTGTACTCAGGTCAAGACTGTGATTCTTTGACTTGCGTCACTGGTGGAGGAGGTACCTTCTATGTTGAAAGTGATGGGCTCACACAGTCGAGCAGAGGCTCCCTTACGTTTGCATCGGAGGAAGATGTCACCTATTTCGTGGTGCCCCATCAGTACTTTGACGATGGCGGCGAATTTGAATTCACGGTTTCCAGTGGTGGTGAATTGCCTCAAAATGGCCAATGTCCGGATGCCATTGAGATCGAGAGCGGTGAAACAGTTGAGGGAACTACAAGCTTTGGCTTGATTTCGTCGGAGGATCCTTGTGACGTGTAAGTTGACTGCAGTCCTCTTGTTTTTCTCTCTCGAGCAATCGTCTCATCGGATTCTACATTGTCCTCCCTGTGCCGCAGATTTCCGTCTGCACCAGGTCTTTGGTATTCTATCCAAGGGACTGGCGAAACGGTTGCGCTCGCTGTAACTGCTGACTTTGACAGCCAGATCTCTCTTTTCTCGAGCACCAGCTCCAGCTGCAACGATTTGGACTGTGTTGCATCCAATGATGATCTATTTCAGGATCTCTTTGGCGTTGACGTCTTGATTGACTCTGGCCTCGTTGAGACACTAGAGCTGGGAGAAGCGTATTTCATATTGGGTAAGTTATTTGTATATCTTGTCGTGTGTGCTTCCCACACATCTGCTCACACAGCGTCAGTTGATGGATGGAGTACAAGTGCAGGAAACTTCTCCTTGATCGTGCAAACAGTTACTGAGTTCGTGCCCGACAATGATGACTGCACCAATGCAGAATCACTAGAACTTGGTGAAACTGTTTCTAGTAGTCTTTTGCTTGCCACGCGGGTTCCTGACTTGCCTTACTGTGGACCGTAAGCTTCATCCATGCCTTCCCTACCCTGATACTGCCGAAGACGTGGTGCCTCACCATCCATGTATGTTCTTGCGTTGTTTTTGCAGGGGGACAAATGCATCAGTTCCAGGAGTGTTCTACACTGTGGAAGGCACAGGAAGCCTCATGCGTGCGTCATCAAACCAGCTTGCCAGTGTTTACACTGGTGATTGTGACTCTTTGGTTTGTTATCAAGAAAGTGGAGACTTTTCCTTCGCTCCAATCACACTGTTTGACACCGACGTGGGTGAGCAATACTTGATTTATGTTTATGGACCAAGAGGAGACTTCAACATCACAGGTAAGTTTGTGCCACGTCCATCGCGACGCCACGATTGCTGCATGCCGCTCACATAACACTTCTTCCTGCATCTCCCAGTGGAGGAATTGGAGGCTCCTTCCAATGACTTTTGTGAGGATGCTGCTACACTTGAAATCAATGGGCCTCGCGTTGCAGGTGACACGGCAGCTTCCACCAGTGAGGTTGGCCTGGAAGTTTGTGGAGGCTCAGGACTTGGGTCTGTTGGTAAGATAATGACAAGTTCTCTGTCACTCATGTACTCCCATCCTCACAAATTTCTGCAACATTTCCTAGGAGCCCTCTGGTACAGATTTACTGGTGAGTAAAGAGAAAAAGCCTCTTGCTTTGCATCACGTGATACTTTCTGGCTGGCTAACCAAGAATCTTTGCTTTTAATTGGGACTTTAGGTAATGGAGGGAAGCTTCGCCTTGGAGTGGATGCAAACTTTGATTCACAGCTTCTTTTGTATTCTGGCAGCTGTGAAGGCTTGGGTTGCTTAGATGGCAATGATGATAGTGCTGTCCTAGGATACCAATCATCTTTGGACATTGACAGCGTTGCTGGTGAAGAATACTTTGCCCTAGGTATGTCAGTCTGCCAGATGAACCAGCATAATGAGCGCCACAAGATGCCATGCTAATAGTTGTCTTGATTCTCCAGTCCATGGTTACTTTTCCTCCTCTGGTTCTTTTGAAATTGAGTTGATTGAGCTTGAAACAGCAGACAATGATGAGTGTGAAGATGCTGTTCTATTGGAGATTGATGGGGATCCAGTTTTGGGTGATACATCTTTGTCTACAAGCGAGACTGGTAGTGGTCTTGAAGTTTGTGGTGGTGCAGGACTTGGGTCTGTTGGAGGTCTCTGGTATACGTTTGTTGGTAAGTAGAGCTGGTGAGGAGGGCAAGGACCTCAATTGCTCGATGGCTAACCTTGGTATTCTGGACATGTAGGAAATGGCGAGAGACTGCTTCTTGGTGTGAACGCAAGTTTCGACTCCCAGCTTTTGTTGTACACTGGCAGCTGCGAAGATCTAGAGTGTCTGGTAAGTGTAGGGCAGTGCTCTTTTTCATGTCCTTTGCGTCAAAGCAGAATACATGTAACTCAAATTGCACTTCTTTACGTACAGGATGGAAATGATGACACGTCACTTCCAGGCCTTCAATCTGCACTGGAATTTGATAGTGTCCAGGGAGAGATCTATCAAGTGCTTGTGCATGGTTATTTCAGCAGTGCCGGTGAATTTGAGATTTCCCTGACAGAGATAGTGCCTCCTGACAATGATGAGTGTGAAGATGCTCTTCAATTAGAGATTGACGGACCCCGCATTTCTGGAGATACATCCAGATCCATTGCAGAGGATTCTGACCTTGAAGTTTGTGGAGGTGCTGGGCTTGGGTCTGTGGGGGGGCTTTGGTATACATTTGAAGGCAAGTAGAAAATTGAGTGCCGCCAAAGCATTGTTGGCCAACTTTGCTAATGTTCACTTCCCCAAAACAGGCAATGGCGAGAGGCTCAGGCTGGGAGTGGATGCCTCATATGACTCTCAGCTTGTGCTGTATACAGGCAGTTGTGCGGATTTGGAATGTTTGGTAAGTGCTGAGTTTCAAGTGTTCTCTTTGTAAGCCGTGTTGGAATGACCTCAAACCACACTTGTATGCTGGCAGGCTGGAAACGATGACACATCAATCCCTGGCTACAATTCAGCTCTTGAATTTGACAGTGTCAACGGACAAGTCTATTTTGCCCTTGTGCATGGCTACTTCTCAGCAGCTGGATTCTTTGAACTTGAGCTGATCCAGCTTGTTCCTCCTGACAATGATGAGTGTGAAGATGCTGTTTCATTGGAGATAGGTGGCCCAGCTGTTGCTGGAGATACTTCCAGCTCTAACAGTGAGGCTGATACTGGTCTTGAAGCATGTGGTGATGGCCCAGGTGAGCACAGTCTGTTTGTTATTCCCATAGAGCCGTCATCGAACATACAGTGTGGTAGCAGTGGCCCACGCAGCCCCACTCGCTCATTTCTTTTCCTTGCATTGTTCAGGTTTGGGTTCTGGTGGTACCTGGTACACCTTCACAGGTATGTTCAATCTATGTAGTAGTATCGTCTACGCTGGCTTTCCGCTTCGTTCTAATGATGCCAAATCTTTGGTTCCTGTTTCTGTTTCTGTTTCAACTCATGTTTTTCTGGATTAGGCAATGGTCTCAGGCTGCTTCTTGGAGTTGTGGCTAGTTTTGATTCACAGCTAGCACTATATTCAGGATCGAGTTGCAACCAGCTCGAATGCATTGACAACAATGGTTGGTTTTGTTGCTGTTTAATACCATTCCCCATTGCAGTCATTGTTCGTACTGATTTGCCTCAATATTCCCTTTGTCTATGTTCTTCTTAGATGACACACCTGATCCTACCTATCAATCTGCTCTTTTCTTTGATTCAATAGAAGGAGAAACATACTATGCCCTTGGTAAGCCATTGAAACCTATCGAGCACCTGTAATACTCGACTGATCAAGCCCCTCTAACAGCTGCTGCTTACTTGGCTGCATTTGGATAGTCCATGGGTACTTCTCTTCTACAGGATCCTATGAAATAGATCTTACACAGCTTACTCCTGATGTCATTGCTGACAACAATGAGTGCGACCAGGCCGTTCCACTTGAAGTTGGTGAAGCTGTAGAGGGGGACACATCCCAGTCATTGGAGGAAACAGGCATTCCCACTTGTGGAGATGGAAACACCCTTGGAAACAGGTAAGGCGATGTGTGATGGTATTATTTTGTAACTTGCAAATTATTCGTGTGCTAACAGACAAGTTCTGCAAATTCAGTGGCCTCTGGTACAGCTTTGAAGGAACAGGGGATCGGTTGCTCGTTGGAGTCAGGACTATTACATCCTCTTATGATTCCCAGATGCTGCTGTATTCAGGGGACTGTGACAGACTTTTCTGCTTGGACTCAAACCAGAATTCCTTTGTTGCTGACTATGATTCAGCTGTGATTCTTGATTCCGCTGTTGGAGTAACCTACTATGTTTTAGTCCATGGAGTGTTTACCAGCACAGGGGTATTTGAAATTGAATTGACAGAACTTGAGGCTCTTGACAATGATGATTGCGATGGTGCTGCTCTCTTGGACATCAACGGACCTCCTGTTCCAGGCAATACTGCAGATTCCTTGTCAGAGTTTGGATTGGAAGCCTGTGGTTCAGGTCCAGGTAGGAGCAGTTGATCAACTGGACAGTGAACCTTGAGCTACAGCTCATCGCACGAAACTTCAATGTGAAATGCTCACTCACCCTCTTGCTCAACCTTTCTGCGTTTTGAAGGATTGGGTTTTGGTAAGTTCAGATTTTTGTGGTTCATGTTGGCAATCTACAGAATGCACCTCCTCATGCCTTCAATGCCTTAAATGCAATGTTATAGGTGGTCTTTGGTATACTTTCCAAGGTTAGTCAAAACAGAATTATGGCAGTGTTCCTGTTTGGTACTTGGTTTTTAACTTCCATGTTCTTTGGGCCAAAAGGTGATGGATCAAGACTTGTGCTAGGTGTGAATGCCAGCTTTGACAGTCAGCTACTGCTCTATTCTGGTGGCTGTGATGATTTGGAGTGCCTGGTATGTGATGGACGCAGCTTTTCAATTTGTACTTTGAAAGTTTTGCCTTGCGCTGAACAAGTTCTGTTTTTGCTCTCCAGGACAACAATGACGATAATTTTGCATATGTAAGACTTTTGGCTGCCTTCATATCCACGTCATCCTCAACCTATTAGCCCAATCATGCATTTCTCACCACACATGGACGCCCCTTTCGTTGTCTTCACCCCTTCAGGATGAGTATCAGAGTGCCTTAGAATTCGATTCTGAAGAGGGCCAAGTCTACTTTGCATTGGTCCATGGATATTTTAGTGCCGCTGGTTCTTTTGAGATAGAACTTAGCCAGATAATGGCCCTGGACAATGATGATTGCGAGGGAGCAACTGAGCTGTTGGTCAATGGTCCACCTGTTGCAGGAAACACTGCCAACTCTGGAAGAGAAATGTTGGCAGGTTAGTTGCAAGAAGGCTCATTTTGTGGTTGTGTTTCCCATGTCATTCTTCGTCTTACACTTTACTTGAATCTTATAGAGGTTTGTGGTGGGGTGTCCAGTCTTGGTGCAGGTAAGGGTTGAGAATTTATAAAGGTATTTGCTGCTATGCTGGCCTTCAAGTCCTCATAATTACCTACAAATCATTTCAGGTGGCTTGTGGTTTACATTTGAAGGTTAGTGAGAACAAACAATCCATTGATTGCAGGTCTATTTTATCCACTAAAGAGTTTTGTTCTCTAATTCCCTGCTTGTTCTTGTTCTTCTGAAATTCAGGTGATGGGTCCACTCTCTTGCTAGGAGTTGATGCAGATTTTGACAGTCAGCTTCTGCTCTACAATGGCATCAGTTGTGACTTTCTAGCATGTTTGGTGGGTTGTGTGCAGTGTTGTTCTTCTTTCTTCATGGCATACTTTCAACTAAAATCTGCCGCTTTGTTCTGATTTTTTAGGATGGTTCAGATGATGCCTTTTTATACCCCGAGTACCAGTCAGCCTTGGAAATTGATTCAATCTCGGGTATTACATACTTCGCTCTTGTTATGGGCTACAGCTCAAACACAGGAACATTTGAGATTGAATTGACAAGTGCATCATCTCCGCCAGTAGATGATGACATAGATGATGACATTGCAGCCCCTCCTACTCCGTCCCCAAGTCTTGGAGCCTTCCCATCCAACCAAGATTGTGGTGACAGCATTGCACTTGAGATTGATGGAACCCCAGTGGCTGGTGACACCACAGGGACAGGCATGGAATTTGGACTGGACATTTGTGGAGCTGTTTCCCAGCTAGGAGCTGGATCTGCTTGGTATACTTTTGAAGGTAAGTGCAAGCAACAAGTTTTCCCTTTCCTGTTGTTAATTTTTGTCTCTAACCCTAGACCCAACTGACTGATTCTGAAAACACAAGGTGATGGGTCTACTCTGTTGCTAGGAGTTGATGCCGAGTTTGATTCACAGCTTCTGCTGTATACAGGCAGCTGTCTGCGGCTTCAATGTGTTGATGGTAATGACGACAACTTCCTATATTCACAGTTCCAGTCAGCTCTGGAATTTGAAAGTGTCAACGGAGAGACCTACTGGGCGCTTGTGGTTGGATATTCAAGCACAAGTGAAGGAGAGTTTGAAATAGCATTGGCTACAGTTTCCACAGTAGATGATGACATTCCAGCAGTCACACCAGCTCCAGTGGGAGGATGTGATGAAGCTCAATTGATTGAAATTGGTGATGCACCAATTGCGGGCGACACTACAGGAACTCCCATGGAATCTGGTCTTGATACATGTGGTGGTGTAGCCAGCCTAGGAGCGGGATCAGCTTGGTACACTTTTGTGGGTATGTTCAACAAAACAAACATTTTGCTCCTCTTGCTCCTCTGAATTGCCTCTAACTCCAGCTGCACGGACCAATGGGAAATACAGGAGACGGGACCACGCTACTTGTAGGCGTGGATGCACGCTTTGACTCGCAGTTACTAGTATACTCTGGCAGCTGTCAGAGGTTGATTTGCGAAGATGGAAATGTAAGGCTTGATAGCGTAGACTATTGGATTGTGGTGTCTGAAATGTCTCACATCATTACAACCTTTTGTGCTTGCAGGATGATAATTTCTCCTATGCAGAGTTCCAATCCGCCTTGGAACTAGAGTCCCAATTGGGTGAACAGTATTGGATCCTTATTCATGGCTTTTCTTCTACCAGCGAAGGAGAATTTGAGTTGGCTGTTTCACAGCTGAGTGTGCCTGATGATGACATCCCACCACCACCCGCTCCCACTCAAGCAATAGATGACGACATCACGCCAACACCAGTTCCAACTCTACCAGCTCTTGATGATGACCTTCTAGTCACAGCAGCTCCAACGCAAGGAGCCGACGATGACTTTGTAGCCACAGCAGCTCCAGGAGGCGATGGATGTGAAGGAGCTATCATGGTGGAACTGGATGGCACACCCACTCCTGGTGATACAACAGGAACTGACATGGAAGATGGACTGGAAACGTGCGGAGGTGTAAGCAGACTGGGGGCTGGATCCACTTGGTTCACATTTGAGGGTGATGGTTCTACTGTGTTGCTTGGCGTTGACGCTGATTGGGACTCTCAGGTGAGTGCCTTGGACCCCGCCACTATCACCCACGAATCATTGGTTGCTCACGCTCTTTCTTATGACTAACTGGGATTCACAGCTTTTGGTGTACTCTGGCAGCTGTGATGATCTGCTGTGTGTGGTAAGTGGTGGGAAGAGCCGGCTTTGGGGGAAACAGGATACCTTGTTCCTTGTACTCAAAAGGTTTATATTTGTCTCGATTCACAGGACGGGAATGATGATAACTTCGCCTATGATTTCCAGTCAGCCCTCGAGCTGGAAACCACTCCTGGAACCACGTATTTTTCGTTGGTCCATGGCTTCTCATCCTCGAGCTCCGGACCATTCGAGTTTGTTGTATCCCAGCTTGCACCACCTCCTGGCAACTTTACAAACTCCTCGGTACCATCCGACAGTTGTGATGCTGCACCAGAGATTTCCATTGACGGTCCAGCAGTATCTGGTGACACAAGCGGCATCCCGGTTGATGAAGAACTGGAAATCTGTGGTTCCGTTTCCAGCCTTGGCACTGATGGCGGCGTTTGGGGAGGCACTTTTGTCGGCGATGGTTCAACTCTGCTCATTGGTGTGTCTGCTAGTTGGGACTCCCAGCTCTTGGTCTACTCTGGGAGCTGTGATGATTTGATGTGCGAGGTGAGTTGTGGGAAGTCCTGACTGTCTTCTGTGCTCAGAGTCGTAGAGGTGCACTCAATACTGTGTCACTTTATTTCCGGAAACAGGCAAGCAATGATGACAACTTCGCTTTCAGTCAATACCAGAGCGCCATCAACGAGTTTGAGACAGAACCGGGGGTGGAGTACTATGTTTATGGTAAGTTCTTGCGTGTGTGTTTGGATCATGGTCATCGGAAAAGGCTTGTTGTTAACCATGTCGACTTTCTTGATTGTCAGTCACTGGCTTTCGAAGTGCAACTGGGGAATTTGAACTGGAAGTTTCGCAGCTATCCCCTCCGACAGGCGGAGCCACCACAGCCCCCACAAGTGATGATCCCAGCGAAAGCGCTTGCGAGCTTGCGACGCCACTGACTTTCGGTAACACTACTACGGGAACAACTGTGGGAGTTCCGTTTACTCGTACTGGCGTCTACTGCGACGGTTTTGGTCCCAGCCTTTACAACGCATCCACTGTCGTTTACAGCATTACTGGCAACGGCGGAGGAGTGGTGGTTGCTATCAATTCAACAATCGATTTCGTTGCGAGCATTGTCTCCGGCCCGGACTGTGACAATCGTACCTGCGTCACTGGGGGCCTACCCAACGTCGAATTTGATGATGTTACGGGCGACTTTGAATCCGCCAGCGGCACATATCAATTTCAAGCCGACTTAGGAGAAAACTATTTCATCTCGATCGGAGGATTCCCAGGCGACGCTGGTGAATTCGAGATTACAGTGCAGGATGGTTTCGACGTTCCAGCCAATGCCCAGTGCGAAGATGCCATTGCTGTTGAAAGTATGGAAAGTGTAAATGGCACTACAGTGTTCGGAAGCTTCCTTCAAGACGACCCATGTATCATGTAAGTAGAATCGCCGAGATCTGAGATATGGACACGGCCTTTCCAACCTCACCGAAATGTTGCCCTGCCTCTTCCGCTCCCAGGTTTCGGTCGAGCCCCGGAGTGTGGTACACGATTGAAGGGAGGAATAAGACATTGCTCTTCGGTCTGACAGCTGACTTCGACACCCGCATTTCTCTGTTTGCCGGTGATGATTGTGGCGCGTTGACGTGCATGGCTTTCAATGATGATCTCAACGAGGACCTGGGCTTGGGTTTCATTGTCGAGTCTGGAGTGGTGGAGACCCTGCAGGATGGAGTCACCTATCATATTCTTGTCGACGGATGGTCAGATAGAAGAGGAAACTTCAACCTGTTTGTCGAACCCATTGACCTCGTAGATAACGACGTCTGCACGGGAGCACAAGCCATCGAGATTGCTACGGTGGTATCAGGAAACAGCATTGCTGCATCAAGAGATGAAGGTCTGCCATTCTGCGGAAGGTATGTCACCGCCTGGGACCTTTGCCGATTGTTGCAGTTGAACCCCTCTCTCACCTTTGATTACCTTTCTCCCCTTCGTAGCGGATCGAATGAGTCTGATATCGGAGTCTTCTACACGCTCGAGGGCACGGGATCTCTGATGCAGGTTTCCTTCGCAGACTCCGTTGCTCATCCAGTTAGTGTGTACTCTGGGGACTGTGATGACCTGGCATGCGTTGCGTCCAGTGATCGCAGCTTTGGCTCTTCCGCCGCTCTGTTCCAATCTGAACTGGGTGAGTCGTACCTTCTCTATGTTCACGGCGACAGCGGTTTTTCCTTCAACTTGACTGTGGAAGAAACCGAACGGCCCGCAAATGACGCCTGCGAGAATGCAACCATTCTATTCATCGATGGAGCTCCCATCGCTGGTGACACTTCTACCTCGATTGCAGAGGACGGCTTGGAACTCTGCGGAGAAAGCTTTAGCATTGGTCAACTTGGTGGTGTTTGGTACAGCTTTGTCGGGAACGGAGCAAGCCTTCTTCTGGGTGCGAACGCATCCTTCGATGTTCAGTTGTTGCTGTATACTGGAAGTTGTGATGACTTGACGTGCCTGGTAAGTGGTGGGCACTGAAGAAATCTCTCACTTGAGATGGCAGAATCTATTTGTTTGACCTCATGCTTTGTCATTTGTTTTGTGTACAGGACGGAAACGATGACGATTTCAGATACAGCGCTCTTGGTTACAATTCTGTGTTGGAAATAGAATCCATACTGGGAGAAACGTATCTCGTGCTTGTTCACGGCTTCGGCTTCAGCGCTGGTGCATTTGAAATCCAGTTGAGGGAAATTGTTCCACCTGAAAACGACTGCCGCAATGGTGAGTGCCACTGCCGGTTGGAAGCAGCGTTGCTGAAGCTTTTCACTCACACATTATCGTTCTTTGCCTCCAACTTTTGCTTCTCAGCAATCACCTTGGAAGTGGGCGACGTCGTGGAAGGAACCACTCTTTTTGTGGATGAAGAAGAGCAAGTTCCCGACTATGACTGTGGGTTGTCGTATTCTCGAAACACGACAACGCCGGGAGTCTGGTATTCCGTGGTAGGCAACGGCGGCAGCATGTCTGCCGAGTTGATAGCACCCTTTTTCGCAAGCCAAATCACAGTGTTTCAGGGAGACGACTGCGATACCCTGGCATGCGTTGATGGCGACACTCGCTTTGGCGGTGGCATGGTTCTTTGGGATAGCATCGAGGGTCAGAACTACTACGTGTATGTTTTCGGAGACACTGGAGGTGAATTCGGTGACTTTGAGCTGTCCGTCAATGATGCGACCCGGCCACCCAACGATGACTGCGACGAAGCTATTGGACTTGATATTGGCGACATGGTGACTGGGTCTACCAAGTACTCCGAGTTTAGCGACTTTGAAGACTGTGGAGTTGGTTTCAACTTTACGGAACGCCAGTTGTGGTACACGGTTTCGGGTTCCTCGCTTCCCACCGGTATGATTGAGAAGTACTCCAAGCAGGGAGGATCCTTCAGTTTCTTTGCCAACATGACCATGTTCAGCACTGATCATGCCGTCTTTGTCTATGCGGGTGAGAGCTGTGACATTCTCACGTGTGTGGGCAACTCCAGTTCTTTTACGACCTTTGGTTCGAACGACCCCGGAGCGTATGTTGAATGGCCGGCAGACCCTACCAAGGAATACTTCTTGGCCGTGATCGATCTGAACAGCTTTTCCATTGCTGGCCTGGACTTTGCACTTGAACTGGGCGCCTTTGGTGTTCTGTAGTGTCCGTCCGTGGCACCGATCCGCCTCCACAGTCTCATCCTGCCTCTTGGACATTCTGCCTTATTCCCTTCTTCCATCCAGACAGATGGCTTCCTATTTTGTTGCATACTCTTTCCCAACGACCAAATCCGAGCGATGCACAAGACTGTTCCTATCCAGTCCGCCCCCTCCGCTATGACAGCTATATTTCCAACCCTCGCTCTGTCTTCCATGTCAACCTTCCCACGATCCCACTCACTTTTAGAAACAAGAAGCAAAACGAAAGACTGAGCTTCTTCGGCCAGCAATGCTCACGGCAAGGAAAGAATGTCTGAGCTTCATTCGTTGCCTTCCGTAGAAAATGCATAATTCGTGTATGTAACACAACATACTGTAAATGAACCAAAATCTGCCTGTGTGCAATGTTTCTTCTTCTCTAGAAAACCATCGGGACGACGCTGATCTTGGGCGCTTGCTTCAGATGTATCTTGGCCGTGAGGAGTCTCGTGCGTGAACTCCTCAGGATCTTTGATCAAGAAAGATGCCATAGAGAACTCGAAGAGTACCGTATCACCGAAACAACTCTAACTAGCTAGCTAGCAGGGTAGTTCACATGGCTAGCTAGCTAGCTAGTAGATGGACGGATAAGATTGAATTCGTTCATGGAGGGACGGAGATCGCCGTCGTGCTCTCATCGCGACGAGGGCGATTGTAAAATAAACATATTGTTTTCGATTTGTGAGAGAAGAAATCCCTCTGAGCTAGGCAAATACGGTACCAGGTACCGGTAGGAACAAAGGTGCGACTTATCTTCCAAGCCGGCGTGCCTCCAAAAGAGCCTCTCGCTGAATGCCAAAGCCAAAGCCGCTGGCGCAAATCTGCAACTGCAATGTCACATCAATATAATAATCCATTCGAACAGATCCATCCATCCCAACACCGGAACACCTTCGTTTTTGGATCAGATAGAGATTGCTCATCCATCGTTCGTTGCATTGCATTACATTACATTGCACCATGGTATCTCCTAGAAAGCGACGAGCCAAAGCCAAGAGCGCCCCTGTGGAGGAGAAGGAGGACGTTCCGTTTGAACCCGACGATGACGAAGAAGAAGAAGACGATTTCATTCCGGGTCAAGATGACGATGATGACGACGTTGGGGACGAGGAGGAGGAGGACGATGTCGCGGGCATTTTGGAAGGGCACTTGTATTACGACGACAAGGATGAAACATTGCACTACCAAGGGGACTCGTTTCATTTGAGCACTCGTCTCAACAACAACAAAGATGAAATTTGGAATCCGCTGTGCGATCCACCGCCGTCGAGTAACATGGCAACCTACCAAATGAAGGGCACCATTCAACCTCCTGGGCACAGCAATAGTAGTAGTAAGGATGAAACACCCTCCAAATTGCCACTTCGAATATTCGACGTGACGTGGACCATTCAACACGATGGAGCACCACTGCCGGGCCATGAAAAGAAGAATTGTCCCGGCAAGACGTGTTTTTCCGAAGACGATGACAGTGACGATGACGACGAGGAGGAGGAGGATGGCAAGAAGCAAAAGGCCACTCCTCACAAACGACCCGCACTGTTTTACGGTGTCGTGGGACGAGAAGTTGCCAGTACCGCCGAAAATGTTCTCATTACCTTTCAAGGAGGATTTTATCCCCTTCCGACATCACAAAAAGGCAAAAAGGAAGAAGAAGAAGAAGAAAAGCCAGCAGCAGCCGACAAAACCAACAGTGTCCCACTCAATTGTCAATTCCAATACGTCTTGGCCGATACTACTACCGCAGCAACAACAACCACAACTGCTGCCGCTTCTCCAGCTGCAGCCGCCAAAGCTCCACCCGCGGCAGCAGCAGCCGCCAAAGCGCCCGACGACGAGGATGACGATGACGAAGCCGATGAAGCCATGGGATACGACGAATTGATTGCGCTTCATGAAGATGCCGGAATGAACGTCGAAGATTTAAAGAGGCGATATCAACAAAAAAACAAAAACAATGATGATGATGATGAACCATCCAATAAGAAATTCAAAGCAGCTCCCAAAGATGACGACGACGATGATGACGATGTGGGATTCTGAATGTTGATGTACTGATTGTATATCTATTCTGACGGGGGTTATAATAACATTGACTTGTATGTACCGGTATGTATGTAATTGGATTCTGACTGCTACCACCAAAGCTCCAGAATACCATTATTATAGTAGATATGACACTTCTGAACTCACTCACTCAATCACTGACTATCTGCCATGTTTCGAAGAGAATCGAATCATTCATTGAATCATGGTGCTGAGCTGGATAGTTAGATAGTTAGTTGTTGACAGCACTGTCAGATTTCAGCAATGCCGAATGAATTGACGAGCAAGGACCCAGCAGTCCTTTCACTCGTCGTTGCTTTCTGTGGGTGACATATACATCTGCGGTCCAAAAAGCCTCCCTGGGACGGTTCCTCCAACCTCATTGCCATACCGGGGAATGTCAAGAAGCGGCTTTCTTCTCTTGCAACGGTGGATTTCGGGACGCGAAGCATCATGTCCCCACGGTTGACCCATCTTTGCGCTGCATGAGGATCCTGGCTGGCCTAGCACCAAGAGTGACCTCCTATTCCCTGAGCTTGGCTCGCTGCTGGGATTACAGTACGACGTACCAATCCAATATTCCCATCTCGTTGCATGCTGCCCGCTACTGCAGGTCTAGAGCAGTCAAGTTCAAATATGAATTGCAATAGAAGAGTCAGTCGAGTTGATCGGTTCTATTCAATCTCATTGTGGCTTGACCCAATCTTGCTAGCTCGATACCACCACGACTGTGACAATCGACTCTCCGATACGTATTTACTTGGGGCGGGACTTCCTTGAAAAGTTATGAAATATAAAGACTAAGTGGCTCTAGTAATAGTGGTAGTAGTATCATATTGCTCCAGTTGCCAGAATGTGCTTGCGTGCGTCCCTGTAGACCTCCCAAAGAAATACAGTTGTGCACGGAGGTTTGCAGCAAGAAGAAAGCAGTGATTGGCCAATAAGACGAAGGAAACACCAAGGACAATAAGTAAGATAACAAGAGTAGGACGCTGACTGCTTGGTTGACTGGCTGATTGAATGTTTTCAATCCATGGCTGGTGTCTTGGGGGGTTGCTTGTTCCCTGTTAGCTGCTGCGGCTGTTCACAGTCCAAATTGGGATAAAAACTCTCCAGCGACTCCACCAAATATTGATTGGTTCTTCTTCTTGATATCCGAGCCACGTGGTAGATCACAGGGACGAACCGGTGGTGGCGTCGCTGATCTTTGGCTGCCTCCTGTGCATTCTGGAAGGGAGCCAGGTATTTTGAGGGTAACTGTCCAAGGAACAGACCTGGGTGTGGTCTCCTCGAGATCATTGCGCACGATTGACTTTGGTTGGGAATCAGGCATTACATCTTCGGTTGGCCCCTTCTCCTTTGGTGGTGCCATGGTTGCATCATCATTGAAACCTTCTGCGGGTGCACCTGGAGGATCTTTTCCGCGACCAAGTGGTTCTCGCTGGAGCTTTTTGGCTCGAGGACCCGTAGCAGTCGTCTTGGCGATCGATCTATTGGTAGCAATGGTGCTGTTGGAGCTTCTATTGCCAGCAGCGGTACTCCCTCTGGCAATCATACTCAACGAAGTTCTGGCAGATACGCTTGTGGTGCTCTTAGGCCCCAGGCTCTTAGTACTCTTGGGTCCCATGCTTTTGGAGCTCACTGGGGCTTGGCTTGCCACACTCTTGGGTCCGAGACTTTTGGTACTGGCTGGAGTCTGGCTTGCAGCAGCGGCGCTGTTGGCACCAATGCTTCTTGTGCTGATAGGAGCCTGGCTTGCAATGCTGTTAGCCGCAATGCTCTGGGTACTAGCTGGAGCCTGACTTGCCACACTGTTGGCACCAACACTCTTGGTGCTTGCGGCAGCCTGACTTGCAACGCTGGCGGCCCCAATGCTCTTGGTACTGGCGGGTGCTTGGCTTGCCCCCCCACCATTGGGGCCAAGGCTCTTGGTGCTGATCGGAGCCTGACTTGCAGCGCTGTCAGCAACAATGCTCTTATTGCTAGCTGGAGCTTGACTCGTACCGAGACTTTTTTCACTAACTGGCGGCTGACTGGATACACTCTTGGCACTTTTGCTCTTGGAGGCTTTTGCAGGAGGACTCTTTGAAGAAGAGTTCTTGGTACTGGCACTCCTGGGGCTGGATGCACCGGGGTCAAGTTTCTTCTGCGCACCCTTCTTTTTGGCTCTTGCTGCTCTTTTCTTTGCCGCTTGCTCCTTTTTCTCCTTCTTTATCACTGCAGTTTCTTCCGGTTCCAATCGAACCGACTCTGACTGTCTCTCATCTAAATCTTGGATCTGTTGACTCTGCTCATGTGCTGGCGGTTGTCTATATTCCATCTTTGTGGCCGGTACCGCCATTAAGTTTTGTGCATTCTTCTTGCGCCTTTCCTTGCCGGAAGCGCTCGGGAATTTTTGTTCTCTGGACACAGTTTTTTGTGCCCATTCTTGGGACGCTGCCCTGATTGTTGCCACAGTCATGGACACAGGGTCAATAGGTTGTTGGTTCGTAGCTGGCTCTTGCACCTTCATATTGACAGTTTTTGCCAATGCTTCCACCGAAATCAATGCTTCCGTGATGGCTGGTTCAGTGAAGTGTTTTCCTTCTTTCCAGGCAGTTGTCAGCACCTTTTCTGACCCTTTGACTGACTTATCAACTGCGGTCCAGGCACCGTGCACAAAGGACGAATACCAAGGTTTCGGGCTGACTGTCTCTGGTAGTTGATATTCCAGCGAGTAGCTGGTTGGGCTTGCAACAATTCCAGAAGGGGCTCCTCCTACTGTTTCGATGTCAGTGTAAACTGTTGTTTCGGGGTCGGTGTACAGAGTTGTTTCGGGGTCAGTGTACAGAGTCGATTCTGGGTCAGTGCCTAAGGTAGTATCGTCCTGGTTGGATTCTTCTTTTGTATTGACGTATTGAATCGCTTTGCTCCTCTTACGCATCAGCAACGGAATCCTTCAAGCAGTTGAGCTTGCTAGCCCTGGGGTAAGCTTCTGGCAAAATAAAGACGCTATCCTCAGTTCAATTGATTGGTTCCCAGCGCTGTCTTGGAGTGGCTTGTATGTGTTGATGTGTTGATGAGGTGGTCTGCCCAACAAGGCGCCACAGTGTATGCAGTGAAACCGTTTGGATAACGGAATACCCATGGCAACATATGAAAGCCTTCAAAACGGTGGCTATGGTCCCACCCCGACTGGCTTGTAGGCGATTCCGTGTCATGGTGCTTAGCACAAATCCACTTGCTGGCTCTTTCAACGCCAAACACTTAGGTCCGTATCCGGAATACATAGCGGATCTGCGATCGTTTAGTTCCGACTGTCACTCTTGGCAAAAAATGAGGCTAGTTTCATGATGCGGAGCTGTTGTCTCTCCGCTACTCAAAGATATAAAGGGATACTGTAACCTATCCCAGGTCCAACTTCTACTCACACCAAAAGCAGCTGGTAGATCTGCTTGGGCACCGGTGGACTTGGAGACTCGACCCTGGCTCTGGAATGACATCAACCAAAGTCGCGTTGGGTTTCTTTGGCTAGCTAGTCTACCATGAGCTAGATAGCAGTGGAAATGGAGAGGAAGCAGCTGCCTGGTGCCTTAGTCTAGCAAGTTATAACAATAATTACTTTTAGTGAATAATTAAAGATCTACGGTACAAGACAGTCCACCAATCAGACAGCCTATCGAATTTAGCCACCGTTCAGGCGAGCGCAACGATGGCAATTGGCACCGCTGCACCCGCCAAGAATAGGGGCAGCAATGGGAGGCGTCTGTTCTTGTTGACTAAGTGCTCACCACTGGCGACTTGCTCGATTAAGTCAGCTGCTTGTTGTGCCGCATTGTTGGAATTCAAGGCTGCTGCAAGATCTTTGCTAGCTTTCGCGAAAACATCAAGCTTCCCAAGCATATTCTTCAATGCATCCCCAAGCATTCCTTTTCGTGCAATGAGACCTACTCCCGCCCTCACCAGCCGCGTAGCATTGGCTGGTTGGTCCGCAAATTGAGGGTAGCACACCATGGGAACGCCTGAAACAAGGGCTTCATAGACTGAATTCGAGCCACAGTGAGTGACGAATACACCAATCTTTCCAGTCTTGAACAGGGACACTTGGGGAAAGAAGGATTCCACTCTCCAATTCTGTGGAGGCGGCTGAGTGATCAACGAAGATTGATGCTGCTTTGGCAGACTCCATAGAACTGAAACAGAGTTTCCAAGCGCCAAAAAGTCAGCCTCAAGCTTTTGAATGGTTTCCTCGTTGTACTTGTACATGGTCCCAAAAGCAACGTAAACAATGGGTTTGTCCTTTTGAGCTTCCAGCCAGGAGTTCAGGTCTGGTTCTATTGGATCAGCAACCGTTGGAATAGAGGGTCCCACCATATGAAAGAGTGGAGCTTCGGGCAGGTCGGGGAACTCAATGAGGGGCGTAGTACAGCCAATCATGGGACGTGGCATGTAGGGACTAGGATACAAGTCCTGCTCCGGCAAAACTGGAAGTCCCCTCTTGAACCTTCCCCAGGATCGAAAACACCAAAGGACTCGAGCCAAGATTGGCTCCACTTGCCACATGAAGGCACACCAGAGCTTCCACTTCAAAGTGTTCTGATCCTCCAATGTTGCAGCCCAACGGTTCACTGAGCGAGGATTTGGAAACACTCCAATGCTCGGCACACCCAAGGCATCTGCCGCATCTGCTGCCTCCACGGCAAAGAATTCGTAAACCATGACGGATGGCAGGGTAGCTTGACCTTCGTAGTAAGACTTGACGCAGTCAAAGATGATGCCGCTCCAACTTTTATTGTCGTCGTTTTGGCAGTCATAGGTCACGGATATCACTTCTTTTGCGCCACTGCTTTCAATCTTTTGACGGTATTTCGGGTGGGCTTCATGAAAGACGGTGACAGAGTGGCCCCGCTTTATCAGTTCAGCAGCGTATGGTAGCAGAGGATTGAGGTGTCCCACCATGGGCACCGAGCAAAAGGCAATGTTCAATTTGGTTTCAACCATTGTTTACAACAATGTCGAACAGTAGTTCAGTGTGGGTTGTGGGAAAGTGGTTGAAAGTATCCTGTCGGGAAAAGTGAGCAAAATCAAGAGAAAAGTGAGGCCGTGGATCTTTTGGCAAGATTGCCCGAACGAGTCGTGATTGTTGATCCTCAGTGATCGGCGAGAGGCACAAGTGGGGAACGTGTGGAGCAGCAGCTCTGAAAAAGGGAGTTCCTTCGCGATCGGAGACAATACCAAACGCTAGTACATGTAGCAACATGACATTGACAACAGTGGCAGAGGACTGACTACCAAGGGTGGCATCACGGTGGCAACCACGAAGAGTGCGGAGGAAAACTGCCTCAATTTTTTTAAAGCCAGCAATACCGGTTTTGTGAACAGTTCCGGGGCTGGGAGCTTTCCACCCTTAGCCAAAACCCAGCCAACTTCGTTCAGGACCAACACCCAGGCCTATCTCTGGGACTCACAGTCGTACGCGTAGCTAAACTTTGCCCAGCATGACGATGATGGACTACTAGTACCGGTAGCTCGAAAGAGAACAATGTTTTCAAAAGCTGCTGAGGACCCAATACCGCTCCTACGGTTTCGGTAACGGTACGTAGACTCACTTCAACGGCAAAGAAAACGAGATTTGCTCACCAAAAGAGTCCACGTTGACCAAGAGGAACCTTGGCATGGTACATAAAGAGGACCGGACTCCGCAGATAGCTTCCCTGCTCTAGCTAGTAGACCCCGGTTTCTAAAGATGATACGTAGCGAGTTACATATTTTCTGTTCCTATTCTAGATGTTCTGGTCTTCACCATTCACTGACATGAATAAGGCAGCTCCACCGGACACCCTCCGTCTCTTAGTCACGGTTGACCCAGTACGTGTGCATCATACCTTTGCCCTTGACGTTGATCATACCGCGAGATGTAACGGAGACACCAGGCTTTTGAACTTGGAGGAGCTTGGCAGTCGCGGAGGAACAATTGATTCTGCCCGGCTCCGAGTTGCTCTCCATCCGACTGGCCGTGTTGACTGTTGAGGGCAGAATCGAGACGTGAGCGGCAGGCTGTAACATCATTGTGAAATTTGGTACTGTGCAGGCAATTCATTTTCTCACCGGTATCTCCAAAAAGACAATACCTCGGATTGAGGGAGCCCACCACATCCGACACAACGGGGCCACAGTGCAATCCAACTCGAAGGCTGAGTACGCCCTTTTCAGGATTGTCCTCGTCAATCAAGGTGTCGTTTGCAGCTTCAAGAGCATCTGCAGCGAATTCGGCGATGCGTTTGACATGATCATCGGGTTGATCCTTTACCAGATTGGTCACAGCCATGTAGGCGTCACCCTGCGGAAGGAAAGAAACACACAGTGAGATCGTCTCGATTGAGCAGCACACCGTTCCAGCGAAAGCCCAGTCCAACGTACAATAGTCTCCACCTTGAACACTTCATGTTTTTCCTGCGAACAAGCGCAACATACATGTAAAAGAGCCAAAAGGGATTTGTCAGATCTTGCCAGCGCACTATTCCAAGCAAAGATCGGATCTCACGCACCGCAACCTTGTCGAGCTTATTGTAAAGGCGACCAAGCATCTTGGCAACCTTTCGTGGTTCCAGTTGCCCAGAAATATCGGTAAACCCAACTATGTCTGAAAAGAAGATTGTAACAATGTCGTGATGTTCCGGTTCGATAGGTTCGTTGTTCTTCAGCTTTTTTGCAATATGCGCAGGGAAGATATCGTCGAGTGAGATAGATGTCGTTGGAACACTGTTCATGTGAACTCTGCTTTGCCTTGCCAGGAACATCTTCTTTGCATCAATCCTCTTGATACGCTTGTCCAGCTCTTCAAAGCTTGGACGTTCCGCAGGATCGGCGACCAGACAGTCACTCATAACTGATGTGATATGTGGCGGGCTGTCCTTTGGTGCCGGTGGACGTTTGTTGACACTTTTGTCACACACAAGCTTTAATACTTCAACAGGATCCTCTCCGTCATAGGGCTCCTTGCGCGCGAACGCCTCAAACAAAACAATGCCGAAAGCATACACATCCGACTCTTCAGTGTTGGAACCACCCTGAAGGATCTCAGGCGCCATCCAGAAAGGAGTTCCTTTGGGAGTGACGACGAAGATTGCAAAGCCATGTTAGGCAAGCACGACACATCATGGAAACCCAAATTAGAGATCATCCATGAAGCACCACTTACCAATCGCTCCAGCTCCAGCTCTACTTGACAACCCAAAGTCTGAAAAGCAGTATGGATTGAGAAAGAGCAAGTAAGTGCTGTCACTCAAGACGTGAACAGAAGACTCACCAGCAACCTTGGCTCGGAACCTGTTGTCCACCAAGATGTTCGCGGCTTTGAGATCACAATGGATCACCGGTGGCTTGCAGGCATGCAAGAAACGCACTCCCTGGGCAATATCGCCCACCATTTGCAGAAGCATTGGTCCTTCCAACACCATGGTATTATTGTGGAGAATGTCATAAAGTGAACCGTGCTGCATATACTCCATAACGAGCATTGGGTCGCCCGATGAGTTCATGTACGCACCAACCGCTGTTGTGATACTGAAGTCGCAGAGAAGGAAGCCATGGGATCAGGATAAGCACAATGTTGCACCACAAACAAGCAAAGAATGAGATTGTCCTCTCGCACCATTGATGTCTCAGGCTAGAAATCAGCCTCATTTCATTTTTGAAGTCTTTCCGGATTTGTCGACTCGTCATCGCCTTGTTTCCTTGACTGGTACCACCAGAAACTCTAGTGATAGATCTGGTGATCTCTTTGGTACGTTCTGTACCTCCGCTGCGTGTACCCATGGAATCCTCCTTTTTGTGTTCCGTAGCAGGGATTGCCGATTCTTCGTCGACTTGAAACCACTTTTCAAAATCTGGGCTCGACATTGTTCCCGTTTGGTTGACCTGGTTTTCTTTGACATGAGCGACACGCTTCACGGCGACTTCCGAACCGCGGTATTCCGCCAGCAACACCACACCAAATCGTCCACGTCCCACAATTTGGGGTGGATCTTCAAACTTGATTTCGTCCTTTTCAATCTTCCAAACTTGATCATTCTTGCGCTGCTTTTCTCGAACGACAAAGAAAACGGCTCCAACAATGACTGCCAAAATGGCAACGACAATCGCCACGATAGGTCCGGCTCCAATGCTGCTTCCTGATGCCGCGTCCTCCGAGTACACACCCAGATTTCGTTGATACACTTCCAAAAGTGGTGGCGAATGGGTTCGATCATACAAGTTGATAATCTTCTTCCATCGATTACGAACCTCCAACTCGGCTTCCCAGCGATCATAATCGGTCAGTAGCAAATCGTCTCCGACCAGTCCCTGGAGCCGTTTGGCTTCCACTTTTCCCAAGTGGTCTCGAAAGACGGCATTCATGGCGGCTTGAAAGTCTGCACTACCCGGAATACGCATATCCAAGGCGACATTGGGGTCATTCAATTGGTTCTTGATGGTATCAATGTACTCTTTGGTCATTTCTTCCGGCAAACCTCGGTCCGTCCAGTCGACCAGACGGGTATGACTGTTGCGGAAGGGATCGACAATGATAAAGGGCGCCCCCACTGTCACATTGGGAATGGTATCATCCACAGAGGTGGCAGGACTGGAAATGTATCCAAAGAATTCGGCACAGGCTCTCTTCTTGTCGGGAGTGGTGTAGTTGCTGCAGGCTCCGGCCCATCCGGTGAACGCCGCATAGGGAGCGGAATTGATGCAGTCAGTGTCAGTTTCGTGTCCCTTGTACACGGCATTGTTACACGAACAGGTCGTGTCGGTACAATCCTTGAGCATTTGCGTCTCTCGGTCCAAGTAGACTTTGGATCCAGGTGTGGGCGCGGTTCCAAGATAGCCCGCAATGTAGGACGTGGGTGGAGCCTTGGCACCCTCGGTGAAGGAATCACCCCACATGTAAGTCATGGCACAACGGCCTTCATTCATCTTGTCGAGATTAATGTCCTTGAAGGACCCGGTGTACTCCGTTTCCGCTCCATAGGCGAACTGTTCTTCCATGAACTGCAGAGTCTTGACAAAGGCTTCACCCAAGAGGGGCTCCATGGTAACTGGGTCAAATAGATTTCCCGACCTGGTTCCAGCATTCTGTGTCATGGACGATAGGACGAGAAAGACCCAGAACTCGGTACGCTCCAACTTTCCAACGCAGCTTCCCGTGATTTCCACTTGCTGAGTGGCGTTTCCAGGAAGGGGTTCCACTTTGCCATGAAAGAACTTGGCCAGTTCCGTGTACTCTTCCCAGGTGGCCGGGGGTGTCTTGTTGTACTTGTCGAACAAGTCTCTTCGGTAGTAGAGCGAATGGACATCTCCATCAATGGGCATTCCCACAATCTTTCGATCATACACGGCACCATTCTCTCGCGCAAAGAGAAAGATATCATTCCAGTTCAAGTCAAAGCCTCCCATGGATCCAATGGCACCCTCTCGGATCAGAGGTGTTAGGTCATGAAGTCCTTCCAGCAAGTCGAGATCTCCGTACAGATGAGGACCCAACGTGTACCCGTCGTGCAATCCTGTCTGTGTCTTGGCTTCGCTCAGAATCTCCGCATGGAATTCATCTCGAGTGAGTGGAGCCGTCACGCACTTTACGGAGAAACAGAAACGCAAAAAGGTGAGCAGAGGCATGGCACAATCTCCGTCATTCATGTACATGTATTTGGCTACAATACCTGAATGTTCACTCGGATCCCCGACATGGCTTCAAACTCGGCGGTACGCCTCTCGAGCCGAAGGCAGTTGAGTTCCCATGTAAGAATGTTCAGCGTGGTCGCAACGGTGCCGTCGTCGTCCTTGATGCAGGCATCCTCACACTGACATTGGCAGGAGTGAGTCTCCGCACTGCAGGTGGGAAGCACGTCCGTGAAGTTGGACATGGTCGAATGAATACCAGTCTCTGTGAAGAAGCAATAATTTTTGGAAAAAGGTTGCGGCGCAATTATTATTTTGTTGCCCTGAGATTGTGAGAAGAAGCACACGGATCGTGGTAAGCTACGGTACGGTGGTAAGCTGGTACTGGTACTGCTGGTACACGTGAGCAGGAGTAGCAAAAGCCTGAAACTAGAAGAACGATAAAAGACAGACACCTTTCCTCTCTGTTGCGTCTGGTCAAGCTGGTGTGCACCAACAGCCTGGACCTCTGTGGAATTCAGAGTCGTGCTTCGGATCGTCTCTTAAATCCTTTCGATCGTCTCCTAAAGAAACCCCAATGGTCTCCTTTAAATAGGAGACGATCCAGATCATCTTCTAATTCTTTTGTCTCCTCTTAAATCATCTCCTATCTTCAACGGATCATCTCATATCTCATATTCTCAACAGATCGTCTTCTAAGTGTATGTGTAAACTGTATGGCATTGTCTCCTGATTCTCCAGGATCGTCTCCTATTTCGAAACGATCGCCTCCTAATTGTAATATTGAGGAGATGATAACTTTTGTCTCATAAATCATTTGGATCGTCTCCTATGCCTTGGTGTATAGTCTCATAAGTATTTTGCCACGAATGACTTTCCGATAGAGGTCCAGTAAACCCACAATGATAGTTGTGACCGGAAATCGAAGGTCACTCTGCATTTGATTAATTAAGTAATGTTTAGAAACTGTGGGCCAAAGAAAACTCTTCCCTAATACCGGATCCCGTAACCGGTACTCAGTTCTACCAACTACTAGCTAGTACAAGTACCTTGTAATAATAGTGCCTCTGAAACTGTATCGGTAGTTAAGTTGAGCAGCTTTGAGTTTTTAGTACAGTAGATCTACTGCACATTTAAATCGTACGGGTCTTTAAAAAAGCAAGATCACTGTAAGACGAAAAACACTCAAAGAAAGACAATTTACAGGCGCTTTTGCAGTTTACAAATTAAATCCGCTGATTAATGGGGAAGACAGATTGTTTCCTTTGAGTCAAGATGGAGTGGCACAGATTTAAAAGCGTCGACTGAAAGAACAGAGAAAGACTGCTCAAGACAAATATAAGGAGGAGGCGTGTGACTGTCCACCTTTTAAAACGAAAGCATAGAAAAAGCTCAGCGTTGGATGCCAGTCCGAGTACCGGTACCGGTATGCCACGCATCCAGCACTCCAGCTAGACTCCAGGAAGGCGCCAGGTTTTAGCGGTAGGGTTAGCACGTGCCACTTTCGCCAAATTCCGGATTCTCAATAGTCGCGCTGGTCGCCAAAAGTCGCGCTAATAGTCGTGCAATAGGTGTGCGCGACTTCCATGTGGAAGCAAATAGTCGCGGTATAGTCGCGGTATAGTCGCGGTGAGCGACTATTACCGCGACTATTCGAAAACGAGTTGACAATGATGAAAGCTGCCACTGTTGCTGCCTATTAGACTGTTATCTACGGTTGTTGTAAGGCTGAACATACCCCTTACGACTCTTGTCTGGTCGGGGCTTGATGGTCATGGCTTCTTTGCGCTGTTTCTTTGCTCTTTTTGCCGCCGTTTGCATCGGGTTTTTGCCATATGGTTTCGCCTTCTCTTTCATTTGATCGATGCGCTGTGCAAACCTCTTCTTGCCGAATGGCTTATACTCTGGCCTTGTTTCAAAGAGCTCCCCAGGAGTCATTCCTTCGTGAAGCATGTTGCCCATGTCTTCATCAAAGAGCTCGTCTGCCTTTGAACCTCTCCAAACTGGTTTTCCAGTTGGATCATGGGTTGGAAATCCATACTCTTCACTGGCCTCCTCAAGACACTCTTCATCATACTTGCATGCCCACTTGAGACGTCTGACAACAGTCTGGATCCGAGCAATTCGTGTCCTGTAGCGCTCCAAATCAAAAGGGAAATCGGCAAATTCCGGTTGGTGTGAATAAAGGGAGTTGTAGAGGTGTTGCACATTCTTGATCTTCTCCTCCACAGGAACCAAGCCATCCATTATATCCTGAGCTATAAGTTGCTTCGCATCACTAGTCCCCCAATCTGCACCATTCATGCTGACCGGAGGTCTTGGGGGGTTCGATGCTGCTGTTGGCGCCATAGCATCGCATCGGGACGACAAAATGACAATCAACCAATTACGCGCCGTATGATTGGACTGCCTTACTTGCTGACTGTTACCTCCGTTGACATGTGTATTGCCAAGACGATTTAGAGCTATCAACGATTAGTTGAAGAGATATAGAGAGTCGACTCTGCGCTTGGGCATCCCGACTTTGGGTTTTGATGCAAATCATTTTGAAAAAGATCTTCCGCTCATTATTTGGCTGTCGACATCAAGCTCACAATGCCAGCAACGAGGAAACTACGAAGCAAGGCCATTCCAGAAGACGACTGCCTTGACTGTGACGCCGAGTTTGGTGGAACTTGCATTGACCCCTTCTCGGTAAGTCATTATATTTGGTTCCTTGTGTGTGTTTGTAATAATGAAGAAGAGAATCCAACGAAAGAAAACAAAGAAGAAAGATGAGCCTCCGAAAAGACAAGGATTATGTCACAGACGGTCTCGCCCTGCTCAACTGACAGGTTGGTCGGTCTGACCAAAATCAAATTGGAAGTTTTGGTTTGTGCAACCAAAACCTGCAGCCAGAGTTTTCGTTCATGAAACCTAAAAGGTATCAGGTGCAGTCTACCGGTACCCGTATGAGTTAAGCTTACCGAACCTGGACTCAGCAATGCTATTGAATCGACAAGGTCTCTACTAGTGTAATGGGTTTGGTCTAGTGGTTGGTAATCGGTGTTCTATTGTCTTACTAGCTAGCTAGTTACATCTATCTTAATGTACCAAGGACTTGTGCATGTAGGAATATGGGTACCGACACAGGAATCACCACCAAAACGCTAGGAAATAACAAGGAGGGATGAATCCGGTAGGAGGATCCACTCTCCTCTGTGTGTTTCGAGTTGTCGTGAAGCCTCGTCCTCTTGTTGCCTTTTCAATGACTCGACGACAGACTGTTCAGGCTGATGATAGGGCTTGAGTTAACAGAGCCTCCTCCTCCGTACTGGTAGCCTCTCCTCTTGTTATCCGTAGCGATTGATCGTCGACGATCGTCGACAATGGTATTTCATTGGCCGTCGGCAGTAAGAGAATAGAAAGTAAGAAATAGATATGGTTTTCTCTTCTATTCTGATACTGAAGAAGAACGGAGACTTACCCTTGCTTTTCAAATTGCACCAATTTGGCCGTCATGGGCCGAGAACTGACTGCCATCCCAAGGTCGATATGATTGAATGAGGGATGGCTTTCGAATCTGCACCAGAGACAGCCGGCTTGAGTGAGGCTTAGATAACAGAGATAATAGAGGTGCGATCGATTCGATTCATTCGAATAATTAGATGCCAACTCACCTGTTGACGGCCGAGATCTGACTGCCTGCCCATGGTCCATAGAAATGAATGAGGGATGGCTTTCAGTTATGCACCTTCAACAAACGCTCTTGATAATAAGCTTACCTCGAATAGAATCGATCGAACGATCAATCGGCCGCAACTCCAGCCATTCTTGTCGGCCAAGCTTGGATTTCTCTCCTGTTTACCATAGGAATACAACGGGGGAGAGAAGTCAGTGCTGCGCCTTCAATAATAACACACTTGATAATAGACTTACCCGTAATAGCTAGTAGCAGGAGGAGCGAGATGGATCAACTGAGGCTAAGGATAGACGCCATTGTGCGGTTTTGGTGGAGGAGGAAAAATGAGAGCAGCCTGTCACGTGAAGTCTGCGATCTGTTTTTGAACTCATAATTAAGGTTTTGGTTATCCAAACCGGAGCGGAATGTTTTGAGTCGAGTCGAACGTTATCTGTCCGTTTGCGCAGGGCGACACCGTCTGTGTTCTAATCTGTACCAGGAAGAGTCTCTGAAGACTGGAGAGAATGCTGCTTTCGCCTGTGATGTGAATTTGCCATTTGAAGGTCTCGAAACCGAAACCAAAATGATGCTGCTGACCTTGATTGAGAAACACGGGGGTCCCAAAGCTTGTACACGACAAACTAGATTGATCCATAAGCTTGCTGGGGAGTATCCAGAATTGTTCGGTGTCACGGGCTCCATTCGTCGCAGTAGAACAAAGTACCTTGTCGATCGTTGGAAGAGAGACCATGACTTCGGCACAACTAGATCTAACCTTGTGGCTTGCTTCGAAAATGAAAATCGTGGTTCTTTGCAGTGTCCCTTGGAAGAAACTGAAGTCGAAGACAACGTCGCCACCGAGGAGACCATCGAAGAGAAGAAACCAAAAGCCAAATTGAAACCAAAGCCGGACAAAGTTCCCTCTGCCACAACACGCAGTAGTACCAACAGACCAACCAAGCGACAGCCCAAGGCTCAACCAGACAAGCCAATGTCGTCCAATCTTGCTAGCCCTTTGAAATTGCTCCGTGCTGCCGGAACACAGAAAGGTAGGAAGCTGCTGTGTTGTTGCTGTTGCCCTCTGACTTATTCTAAAATATCACTCACTCTGCGGCTGGTGCTGTTTGGCTTTAATTGATCCTTAGATTTGGACGAATTCTACGATGCTGACCTCGACAACGAGGATGCTCATGGCGAATATCTGTTGACCATGTCGACAGAGGAAAGAGTTTCGACAAAGCAGGCGTCTGCCATTGTTATCATCCGTCCCAACACGAACGTCGGAGACGTAAAGTACTTGACAGCAACCTACACAAAGGATACCATTTCTATCAAAGGCCCATCCTCCGACAAAACTTTTTTGGAGCAGGCCACGGGAAACGATGGATGGTTGACAAAGCTCAAGAGTATTGAAGACCGCTTTGATGCTGCCAAACTCCATACCTCGCTTACCTCCTTAGTCACCAAAATGAAGAAGAAAAATCGTCTCAAGACTACCCACATCAGCTTGAACAGTATTGGTGTCGAGGTCTCCAACGAGTTTTTTTCTCCCGGTTGCCCCGAAGGAAAGCTGAAGATGCTTCCACTCCCTTACAAGGTGACCGGCAGAAACGGAGAAACTTCAACAAAGATCACTGTAGTGTGGAGAGCCTTCATCGTTGGAACACTTGATGACGTCGATGAGGACGTTGAGCAGCAGAAGGGTGATGAGGATCTCTTGAATGAGCTGTTGGCCCAAGGTTAGACAAAGATTCCAGTGCATGTCATAGCATACGTTGTTCTAAAGCAAACTAAGCCATTGTTGTTTGCTTCTTTCTACTTCTTGTACGTGCATCGGTAACAATGGATTAGCAGTCTCGATTTCTCGTCCTGTGCCTCCTCAACCACCAAAGAGACCAAAGAAGGAAAAGACACGTAAACCAAAGCCACCGGCACCACCAGCACCACCAAAGCCACTGCCACCGATTCCTCCCAAACCCATCGTCGATATGGATAAGATCCTCACGGAAAAGGAAATGATCAGGCACATGGCGCGGTTGAATATGGCTCGAAGCTATCTTGAGGGAGAGTTTCAGGCGAAAAGTGAAGCAGGAGACGAAACGGACACAATTGAACAAATGTTAGCAGACCTGGAATCATTCGTAAAGGAAAACGAAGCAGAGCTTGATAAAATCCTTGATGCCGATGGAGAGCCAAACGATGACATGGACGTAGACAAAGAAAATAAAAAGCGAGGTCTAGGAGATGACGACAGTGAGCTGGATGAGGAACTGGAAGAGCTTCTTCGCGATTACTAAGGAGGCAAATCGTCAGCATATAATGAAACAACCCTAAGGATAATTAGACACAAAGTTGTTTGCCAACAGTCGGCTACTCGTCTACTAGAAATTACTCAATCTATTCTTACGGGCTACTAGCTAGAGGGTGTGCAAGGGCTCTCCGTGTGGAGAGGTGTCTTCAATCGCATATTGAGTGAGAACCAAGCATGCATTGAAAGCAAGCTTGTGGTTGTCGACTCCATGAATCCATCTCTTTGTTAAACAATCGAAGTCCTTCATCTTTTTGTTGAATACTTCCTGCCTTGCCTTTGCAGCACCTTTAAAAGCTCTCACTTCCGGCGAGTCCATCTCCGAAACAACTGCAAAGATCCGCTTTTCCCTTTCGGACTTGCCGCTGTAGCCAGCATCAGCAATAACTCGACATCCCTCTGGTACCATATCAATGAACTCTTTGCGGATTGATGTCATGTCATGTGTACTGCCTGTATCTCCAAGATTTGCATACCACACATTGTTCGTCCAAAGGGAAAGGACAATTTGATAGTTGAGACCAGCAAAGTTGAATTTGTAGGCATAATTTTTGGGATTTCTCCGCATGTCAGGATCTCTTGGCTCGTTTGTTCTCATCTGAGTTCCATCGACACTTGCTCCCATTCTTACTTTCCATTCAGAAGGACACTTTATCTTGTGTTGTTTCAGTTGTCCTATCATTCGAACAAAACGCCACGTGAAGTCACAAATATTGTCATGGCAAATATTGAATCGAGCATTCCGCACATCAGCCGATTCGTAGAGCCGAAGAAAGTTGTTGGCAAGCATAAATCCAATGAAGGAGTTCTTCTTCTCCGCCTCGGCTCTTTCGAGGATACCAAAAACTTGAAGGTCGCGATAAACTCTTGCAAGATGTAATGGATTTTTCCCAAAATGTGCCTTGAAACTGTCTAACATTTGTACTCGTGAGGCGCCTCGCCTGGGTCTTCTCGTCTACATTGCAAGCCTTCAGACCCTCCCTTAGAATGTAGGAAGGTGGTATAAGGAACGGTTGCTGCTGTTGTTGAGCCATGGCCGCCATTGTGCAGTTCCACGGTCGGAAAAATGAGTTGACCAATATAGTCGTTCTATAGTCGCGCTATAGTCGCGATAGTCGTTCTCGTCGCGCCGAAAAGTCGTGGTATAGTCGCGGTGCGCGACTTCAGAACGACTTTCGGCGATCCAGCGCGACTATTGAAAATCCGAAATTTTCTAGGGTTGAAGTAGGGTTACGGCTAAAACCTGGTGCCTTCCAGGTCCCTCATTACACCACACGCCTGACCCCAACTTGAACAATTCCGGAACGATAGAGAGCTAACTCCAGGATCTCTACCAAGCTAATCATCAAGCCCAACAATGGGTGTCCGGACCAACACCAACACCAACACCAGCTCCATTCAAGGACCTTCTCCAGTTGCTGCAACAAGCAAACCTAGCCTATTCATCTACAGACCCCCTCCTGGTTCCACCGGTACTTGGAGCTACACCTAGACCATGTTCAGGCCCCATTCAAGGTCCTACACTGAAGCTACACCTGTATCCACACAGGTCCAACACAAACCCAACTCCCGGCATAACCAACAGCAGGACACAACCCCAGCCACACCACTTGAACAGCTGGCATTCGCACAACAGAGTCCAGGTCCATTGCTTCCGGTTGGCCCCAGTTGCCAGTCCCAGACCACACTGCGGCCCCCCTCCTGGCTTCCCTGCAGAATCAACTGATCCAGGCATCATCCCTGGTTCCAGCTAGAGACCCATCAGTAGGACCCAACCCCATGATCCACTTTTGGACTAACTCCATGGCCTATACAGTTACCACACCAGGTCCATTGCTAAGCCCCAACCCTTCCTGGGTCAACTCCTGATCTCACACCAGAACTCAATGATGATTGGCAGGCCCTGATAGCCCTTGAACAGCTCCTGGACTCACTCCAAATCCCCCCACTGGTCCGTTTCCAGGTCAATTAGGAGGCCTTGACCCCCATAACGACTCTGGGACTGACACAAAGCCACTCCAGGACCCACTCCTGGATCACTGTCAGCCCCAGGAATGGACGAACGCCTACCTAGACCAACACCAAGTTCTATTCCTGGTGTGATGCCAAACCTCGCCTACTGTAACTCCAGGATCATTGCTCGGCCACAGTCCAGAACAAGCAACCTGTGGTCCCACTCCTGTTCCAACACCAAGCCTTACATGTAGCTAGTCCCAGACTCATTCACGACCATTGTCAGTTCCTAGCTAGTCGTGGACACTTTCCTAAAACTATTGCAGCCACACCAAGTAGCTAGCAGTACCCTCACCTGTGATCAGCCTCCATGTAAGTACCTTGCCAGGCCACTATGACAGAGCAACCCAACACATGCCCCACCTTGGACCTACGCCTGGATCATTGCCAGGCCCCAGCCCTGGTGACTGGTGACCACCCCTAGGAAGTTCCCAGGTCCCACTTCTGAGAACAAGCAGCCGGAGGCTGATGCCCTCAACTGTCAAAAAGAGATTTGATTGGATTCCCCAATCGAATCCTTAACATCTTTGGTCAAATCCTTTACCGTGTTCAACTGGACACACTAGCAAGTCTCCATAGCCAGCCAGTCAGTAAGGGTCCAAAGTACTGTGTCCAACAGAACACACAATATCAATCCCTATCCTTAACAAGGAAAATGTCCCTTATTTCTTTGGCAAAACTTACACCGTGTTTATCTGGACACACTAGTGAGTCTGCATAGCCAGCCAGAACTGGTACCCATATGTTGAAACTACTGTGTCCAGTTGAACACACAATATTAATCCCTATCCTTAATGAGGAAAGTGTCCCCTATGTGACCAAAACAGCTGCAACAAACACACAAACACACACAACATCACACATCTCACACAGCACTCAACGTACACACACCTACACACACACACACACATACAGCGATAAAAGTGTGAAAGACCCTCAGTCCGTTGAGGGCAATCCCATACTTGTGCTTAATCTGGCTAGGCCACCACACACTCTACCGTAGGTCCCACTACTGGACCAACTCCACAGAAGCCAGACCTATGTGTAGACATGCTCTTGGACCACATGCCCAAAGAGTTGCTTGCGAGCATCTTTGAACAAAGATAACACAACAGACTACTCGTCTAGAGCCCCAGTCATTGAGTACGATTACAGTCGTATGAGGATGACAAGGATAGGTGATGAATAGTGACCCAGCTGATCAGCATTGGGTTCTCGCTGATATGCCATAGTGACTACTCTTTGAGGCGGGATGAGTCGAGCAGAGATCGAATGCAGCCCTCGTAAGTCCATTGTCAACCTGCTTCTCGTAGTTGTCAGTCTGATCGATCCTATTAGCTAATCCCACGAGAAGAACGTCAAGTGAAATCCGTTAGCACACACAGCGGGAAGGCTGGGCCCACTCTTCCCATCCAAGAATCCAACAGCATCGTCAAATCTTGGGCTTGCTCTAAGAATGTTGTTTAATTAAGCTCTTGTCATTATGCAGGATATGCAATTAGATGCTGATGGTCTATGATGAATATCAAAAGTGGATCTTTTGATCGGGAGGCTGGGTTTCAGAAGAACGTGCCGAGGGTAGCACACTCTGCCGGGTGTGCCATCATCTATCTTTACTAAGCAGTCCTCGATGACACCATGATCAAATCCTTTTCGGCTTCCCCCTTGTCTGTTGTGGATGTGCTTGTTGCTGCTGACGTTGTGGACAGTGGAATGCTATTCTTGACCGACTTGAAGAAGAATTTGGTCTTGGCCGTTTCCAATACCCCACTGAATCGATCCCATGTTTTGGAGTTGTGAAAGGACTTTAAGCGTTCCTTGCGTGCCTTTTCGCCCAGTTCCGATGCTTTCAAAATATCCTGCATCTTGAACCCCAACGACAGCAACAACACTTCCCGTTCAACGGCTGGAATCATGAGCTTTTTCCCTCGACGTCGCTTGCGACCCTTTTTGGCATATTCGTAGACATGAAAGTCTTCTACCGTGCGGTTCGTGGGTTTCCAACCAATCGTGAGGGGAGCGCCTTCGCTCAAGCCGGGATTGTCGCCCAATGTGATAGGAAAGGAGATCTACAGTATAAAGTACGGCAGAAGGAAGAGAGGAGTAATGGATGGATCGGGTGAGACAATATCATCATCATTGTTACTATCAGCGACAACAAGGAGGAAAGCTCTGGTCAAAGCGAACGAACTCACAATTTCGACGCTGTTGAAGGATACTAGCTTGGAATCCTTGGCAACAGAAGGCGTGCCTTCGCTATTGCTGGTGGCTTTCAAGCTGCTTTTGCGAGGTGCTGTCATCTTAGTAACTGTTGTCTTACTTATCTCAAACTATGAGGAGGGAAGGTTGCCAAAGCTGGCAAAAGCCGATTGGAGGGAGAAAGAACTTTGGTACTCTGGCACTGAGCACTCAGTCACCGTGTTGTAAGTTAGTTTGATCGTAGCAAACAGTGAAGAAGGGAAAGAACTCGAGCGGCAAAGCCAAACCAAGATCCACCTGCAAGCTCCGCGATGCTGCGATGGTTACCGGAAACGGAACCCTTTGCATCGAGCACAATATTCTCGTACATTCGACAAATCGCATCGGTCATTAATTTTGGGGATGGTCATGTTTGGAACCAATTACTAGTGGTCATTCAGTGTCTTTCTACATGTGGAATAAGGACAGTTTCCGTGAAACCCAGTGAAAGTGAATCTTCAAAGCATCATTAGCTTTTCACACAAGAAACAATAATGCTCCAGGCTCAATCATTGGTCATTTGGGACATTCTTTACTGCACCATTAATTAAGTACTCAAGAAACACAGTTTCACCCTTTTAATAATAATTATACGAAAGCCACGGCAAGTGAACGTTAATCTCCGAATCTTCAATGTACCGTTAAGTACACGATAAGCTCCAACCTTAATGGTCTAACATGTTTGGTCGCACACACGCGCCTACTTTCAACAAAAACGGCAAAGACAAAAGCCAACAACAACCAAAAAGTACTAGTACTACCTGCTTGGGCATCTCGATTGAACATAGTATCTGATTGTATCATCACCAATCCACAACCATGAGCGGCGACGAAACGTATCTGGAGGCCTTCTTGGATAGTTTGGCAGGTCTGCCGAATGAAATCAAACGAAACATGGAGTTGATGAAGGACATGGACAAGACGTGCTCGTGAGTTACCGTTGCTTGTGTTTGATTTGATTGAAGTGATCGCCCATTGAGGCCTTTGATAACCAATGATAATGAAATGGACAGTTTGTATGGAAGCTATCTTGCTTTCTGTCGATTGTTAACTTGTAAGGACCGTCCCTTGAATTCATTTCTCAATTCTCACTTTTCCTTCCCACAAATCCCCGTCATTTTTTCTTTCTTCCATTGTCTGCTACTTGATTTTGTCGGTGCTATGATCAGATCGCTGCAACGAAGCATGAACCAACAGCAGCAAGAATACATTCGACAGGCGGAATCCAAAGTCTTGGCTCTCGAAGTTGTCAAGCCACCTCCTTCACTGCCCAACGGTACCGATCCACCCTTGCAACCCGGCGTCCGAGTCAACGAACAATTACCCGAAGTGATTATCCCCACTACGGAAGAAATGATGGAATTCATTGCCGACCATCCAGGCGCGTTGGCCGCCATTCGAGAATTGCAAGGCACCACGTTGCAAATGGCCGACGAAAAGGTCGCCATTGCCAATCAAACATTTGCATTGATTGATTCCGTCGTTCGCCGACTCGATGCCGACTTGGAATGTATGGAAAAGACACTCCAATCCACGGGAGATTTTCAAGTGGCGGGAGCCGCTCGTCCCGATGATTTGGCAGCCGTGCAAGTGGCGGCGGGATCCGATTGGATTCTCGCCAAGGTCATTTCGCATGATCCCAATACGGGCTTGTACAAACTGTCCGATGAAGATGTGGAAAGCAATAAAAGTAAGTGCTTTGAGATCTGTGTGTTGTCGACGGTGTGCTGTTACTATTGAAGTGTGCGAAAAATAATGTGTGAATGTCATGATCCAGCCACGCGAGAGTGCGTTTTTTCTCCTTGCCTTGTGCCCGCTTTTACTGATCCATTTCTTTATTCGTTCTTTTATTCATTTATCTGCCACCTCTACATACTACTGTATAGTATTCAATCTTCCAGAATCCCAAGTTGTTGTTTTGGGTACCATTGAAAAACTCAGCAAGGGAGATGTCGTCTTTGCCGTCTATCCGGATACGACCGCCTTTTATCAGGCTTCAGTCGCACAGGCACCGAGAAAAACGGCAGGGACTACGACTGCCAGCTTTGTCACGGTCAACTTTGTGGATGATCATGATGAACATGGCATCATTCCAAATCGACCCGTTCCTATACAGCATGTCATGATGCCACCCTATGGGGCCACGTTGCAATAAGAATGCTATAATATAAAATGGGAGCTGCTAGCAAATTACAGTACAGTAGCAACATCTCTGCTCGTATCGTCAGTAGCTAGCTAGGCCCTGTCAAAAGAGTACAGTAGCAACATAGAGCTAGGGCTGGTATATGGCATTAGTCAAAACTAGAGAGTATCCTCCACTTTGGGTATACCCCTATGAAGACGCTGTCGCGGCCATCCAACAGGGTTTGGAGAGTGCGGGCGGCCTGCGGCAACATCCTCCGTTGTGCCTTCCGAAACCTCAAGGATTGCTCACCAGGATGGCCTTTCGAGCCCCAACTGTCGTTGTCGAATCTCGAGCATGGGAGTCGCCGACCTTTTCCGCAAACAGGAATAGCAATAATAATGCGGTTGCGGAGGTTCCAGACGTGGCAAACAAAAAGACACGACACGATTGCTTTGTTGGGGTTGAGGGGCAACCACAAAAAGATCCTCCAAAATTTGGATACCAGCAACGACGGCTCCCCATCGACGATGGAAAGTCGTCTGGAGAGCGTTGCTCGTTTGATTTCGCCTGTCGATGGGTCAACGAAGATTGAGGGTTTCGAACAAGCTGGCGACTTTAACGGGCTCGGTGCTAGAATCCTTTCTGGCCGCCCCGAGTTGGGGCATTTTGATTACTTGTCGAGACCCAGCCAAATCTACCCGTTCGTCATTGGTAGTGAAAGCTTGGGTTTGTGTGCTGGAAAGACATCGCTAGAAATCCTGCGACTCATTGGATTCGACGACAAATATATCCAGAACGAGTTAAAGAATGGAGCAGAGTTCCGCATGGTCCTCTTTGCCGCTGATGAGACGTTTCAGATGGTGTCTCCGACATGGGACAATCTGCTGGCTTTGACCTACGCTGAATCTATGGAAGCCGGAAAACGCTTGGAGAAACACTTGCCCGTACTCAAGCCCAAGCCTTTTGACGAACTCGTGGCCGAGACTGGTATCGATTTTGATTATTTGCCAGGCGACATGCACCGCAGTGTAAACACCATACACAAATACGCTGCTTTGCCGGATGAATGCGATACCGTGGCACATGCTCGAGCCTTTTTGAGCGCCACTTGGAAGTGTACCCGCCTCTTCCAAGGGGACGGTTATACAATGGATGAACTGGGCAACCGAGGCGTCCGCGAATTCATCTGCCCAAGACGAAAAGTGACCGACATTCAACACGTGTGGATAAATCTTCCGCTGGACCTTGGAGTCTTTGAGGTTGACAGTACCGATAGACAGTAGTATGCGAGAGTAATTCTCATTCACTAATCGTGCTTTCGTTGATTTTTCAGCTGAAAAGCAATCGTTGTTTTTCGAGCTAAATAGCGTGCCTAAGCAAGCCGTCACCCATGATTTTTAAAGGTGGAGGGCGGCCCAGGTTGCTGTTTGCGCGGTTGGAAGGCCCTTGTTCTTTCTTTCTCTTGGGAGCAAACACCCCACAAGCACTGAAAAGATCGTGCCGGAGTCAATCAAGCAAGAGAAAATGCCAATCCAACCGCGCAGCAGTGGACATCTGAGAGGAACGTTAACGCCTTTCCATCCCTCTGGCGAGTCATGAATTGTGGAATCGAATCGAATCAGACTTGGTTGCCCCTGGGATTGCTGGAGTGTTTGAGATTGGCAGAGTGGCAACCGTACTTTCGACAGTTGCAAAAAGTCTTGGCCGAAACAAGCAGCAGCATCATGGATAGAATAAAATCCCATCGACCCAGCATCTTTCCTTCAGCCTTGCGAATTGTTGTTGTTGTTGTCGTTTTTGGAGCTGCTGCGACGGCAGCATGAGCCACCCGTCACCGCTTTCCACAGGGACCAGTCAGGGTTCCCCTCTCGAAACTGCAGGTACCGAGGCCTCAAATACACCAGAGCATTGAAGAGTCCTTGCAAGGGAAGAAAGAAGGATGTCAGCACATCGAGTGCGTAGTATCGTTTCAAAAAGTAACTTGTCGTGATCCAACTGATAAAGGGAAACGTCCATGTCAAAAAGAATGCCACTGCATAGCACAAGCTTTGCATGGCCACTTGTTGCGACTTCGATATCCTTCTCTTGTCACTGCGTCGGAGGCTGGTGGTCTTGTCGCTTTGTCGGAGACTGGTGGTTGTTGTGGTGGTGGTGGTGACCGTATTCGCACTATTGCGAATCTCAAAAGAACAAGTTTTTGGTGTGTTGTCGTCTTCTGAGTATTTTTCTTCTGGGTCTTTACCCGGAATCATCTCCAAGGGACATGCCTCCAATTCTGCAAACGTGGGCATGTCATCCAATTCCACAGCAACACCAGCCTCCAGCTCCAACTCCACGGGACTCTTGGGTCGCTCCTCCTGCTTTGTTTCCTCGCCACCACTATTGGATTGGTTGTTGTCATTGGCAGTAATTTTCTTTGACTCTTCTGCTTGGCGAGGAGATTGTGGTGGTGGTGCTTCTTCTCTGCTATTATTCGTGTCATTGTAAAAGAGACTGCTACTGCCACCTGTGTCGAGTTGCATCCAACTTTTGTTCCACTTTTCACTGGTGAGTTCTCGTTTCCGCACTTTGAAAAAGATGATGGTAAAGAAAATAATCATGACGACAAAGCACAGGAGCAGTGGCAAGAAGCCAAATACCAATCGGTAGGTATCCAATTGACCTTGTCGACGGCACTGCGGCGTGTGTTCCAATGCTCCCCCGGGAGCACATCGAATGGGAGATCCAGCAATCCAGCATACCCCCATGGGTCCATAGAGATGGTAGAGGTCCAAAAGCAGTCCTGACACGGCGGTGGAGAGTCCCCACATCATGGGCAACCCAATCAGAAGCATCGGAGTGACACTGCGCAGAAACGACGATTGTTGATTACTACTTTGTCGTTTGGATCGAATGCCCTGATGACGACGGCAAATGAGCAAATAGTAACAAATGGCCAAACTGGCATTGTAGACGGGAACACAGAGTCCCAACTGGACAAAGAAGCCTTGGACTTTACACACTGTGGGAGTCTCTTCGTACGGTACAAATGGATCCGGACTGGTCCAATCGGCCAAAAAGAGCCACAAGCTGGACGAAAAGTCACACAGACTCAATGCCAACAGAATGTAGGAAGAAGTTCGTTCACCAGACGATTTGCCTCGTCGTTGTCGCAACGTGCGAATGGAATCATAGATAATGTAGGCCGAACCAAAGAGACTCCAGACGGCATTCACTTTGCGAATGTAGTTGACCGCATTCAGTTGTGCTGCCGTACGATTGTGCTTTTTCTCGGGAGGATTGAAATGGTAATGAGTCTCTTCTTGGGCATGCAAAAGGCGTTCGGTCAACGACATTGCTTGGTGAGTGAGTGAGAATGCAGCAGCAGCAGCAGCAGCTAGACGAAGCAGTAGTGTCGGGTTTTGCTCATTGGAGTCAAGTCAAGTCAAGTCTTTCCCTTGCTATACTATCAAATGTCACGCGACTTACAGTCTGTCAGTCAACCGGTAGCCACAGAGGATCGATTAGCGATCCTCTCACTCTTTTCATTCTAGTTCTTTGTTATCAAGTTACTAGCCGTAGAGTCCTCCGACAGGTTACGAGCCCTGCTACCGCTTCTAATGCTATACATGCTATCATTGCCATTGCCACTACCATTGCCATTGCCATTGCTATCCTTTACCAATTGCCGATCCTTCATCTGAAACGATCGATTGATCCGAACGGTCACGATCGACCGAAGGGTCGATCTCGCCTTTCAGACCACTTCCAGTCGATACAAAGGTAACCATACGACTGCATGAGTCTATACAATAGAGCTACTACATCAAATAACAACGAAACCCTTGGAAACGACGACCGAAAAGCGCCATTGTCCCTCTTTTCGCTCCACGAAAGCAACGACGAAAAACGAAATCATCAAAATTCCGACGAACACGCTGACATCATCAGAATTCCGACGAACACGCTGACATCATCAGAATTCCGACGAACACGCTGACATCAGCAGAATTCCACGGAATTCCGAAGACGTTTTCCACGCTTTAAAAAGTTTCCACTCCACGCCGAGTTTCCACTCCACGCCGAGTTTCCACTCCACGCCGAGTTTCCACTCCACGCTCCGAGTTTCCACTCCACGCCGAGTTTCCACTCCACGCCCAAGTTTCCACTCCACGCCCGTATACCCTATACGTACGGAACGACTTGCTAGACTCATTTACGATACCCATTGATTCGTTTGAGCTACGATTGAAGAGCTACGGCCCCTTTTGTCCGATCCTATTCAGTTGTCCGTCCCTCAAGTCGTCGGTTTTCCGTCCCTCAAGTCGTCTGCCCCCATCAAGTGTTTGTGACTTTCTTTGGTGTCAGGATACAGACGTTAAAACCAGCCCATACATCTCCAGTGCGAAAGCTATCTTGTTTTCTTCAGGACGTCCATTATGACTGACTTTTCTACTATCATTGACTTCCATGTCAGTTTCTCAGAATCGGATCGTCGGTTGCAAGCACATACTCAGCTGAACCTTCTCTACAGCGACTCACTTCCACATCCCGAGAACCTGTTCAATGCAAACCCACCCCGAAGTGATAATGTCCTTGCTGAAGCTGCTTTAATAGCCGAGATCCGTCGACAGATATGTGAATACTTGATTGTTCCTTGGGCCAATGAAACTCTTGTTGATCCCATCAATACCATTCGTCCTATTGTCAATGGTATGGGTATCAGTATTTCCTACGGCACTCATGCACCCCGTCGTTTGACTCAAAGTAGCTTCAATCGGACTCTCACCGATGCTGTCAATGATGGTGTTACAGAAATCTACCTCACTATCCCTGCCAGTTTCCTCTACTTTGACAACCGAGAAGTATGGTACACCACCATTGGGGCTGATGTAAAGAGTGCCGTCACTGGTAATGATAGCAGAAGGATGTTCAAGGTGATAAAAGGCTCCTCCGAGATAGGGAGTGGAAAGTTGTGCTCCAGTGAGAGTCCATTGCTCATTTTGAGATGTACCTGGCTTTGACATCAACTGGTAAACCACCAGCATTAATGTCCAGATGGTTACAGGCGGAGGAGAGGACCATGGGGGCTCCAGGTGGTGCAGGTCCAGGTGGTCCACCACGAGCAACAGGAGCAGCAATGGCTCCAGCAACAGCACGGCCAACATCGACTGCAGTTGGTGGGCTGGAATGGCACGAGCAACAGCAGCAGCATATCAGTAGCTGAAGATGGGCAGGAGGTGGTGCTGGGAGTGGGAATGGATGGATTCCAATATGATCCAATTGCGGTAGCTGATAA